AAAGATCATTGAAAGCCTCCGTTTTCAACAGTCCAAGGATGACGACGTTGCTTAACATGCACTGAAGCACCGCTAACCTTCGTTATGATCAAGTGCGTTACATCCTTCGAAAGTGTTAGTTCTAGCCTAATGAGCTACAGTTGTCAAAATTTGTGGTTGGTTTTGCCAGCAAGCCCATCGAAACGGACAGATTGAGTGCTTTGTGTCAGCTTTGTGTCAGTTTTTTACGTTTTTCAGATGTTGTCAGAGCTGGCATGCCAACAAATTTGTGTCCTTTCATGACACTACGTGCCCTCCATTCGCTTGCAGCTAAAAGCTTTGAATAAACTCACTTCAAACAATGATATATAAATTGAGCACAACCTGGATCAGTAGTAGCCTTGGGGAAAGTAACGCAGGACGCATACACTAGAAAACAAATTCGCATTGATTCCGAACAAGCTGTCTTCTTGCTACTGGGTACAGCAGCTCAGTTGAAAGCCAGCTCGAGCTACATTCTAATGCTCCCTATATATACGGTTGAGCACATCGGACGTCAGCTGCGCATATTTTAAAAATGCGAAATACGTCTTGAGCTTTTCAACCAAACGAGCAGAGGGGAACTGCAGTTCCAGAAGCCCTTTAGATGACAGGACTGCTCTCATCCAACGTTATCTGAACCTTTAAGGTCTCTCCACTTCGGACCATTATGTACTTTTTACATGGTTCTCTGTTTTCATTCAGCTGCTCGTAGTGGCTACCCGGCCATTGTAGTATAAAAGTAGCTCACTGGGTGGCAAGGGTTTCTTCTGGCGTCTAGGCTTGTTGATACTGTGCACAAAGTTTCGCCTGCTAAACATCTTGAGGCAGTAAGAACACTTTAGTGGCTAGGATATTTGAAGACCCTTCAAGCAGTCTTGACACTTGAATAACTTGAACCTTCTCAGCACTTCGGCGCTCTTGTTCTCCTCTTAGAAAACCTTACTCTGACTGCGCACTGCTCTCTTCAACCCCTCAGCCGTCTGTTATCTCTCGCTTCATAGGGCCTTCTCTGCCGCTGCCCCGGATCCTCTGTCGGTACTTGCTTAAACTTGTCGGCGGAAAATTCACGTTTTTCCCTGTCCCGCACTTGGCTTTTTGGACTCCGGCCACTAAGGATTGTGTCGGGTGGTGCCTACGAGCTCAGTTTGCCCAAGCTATTTACATGCTAGCAAGCGAAGAAGCTGTCTCGTGCGGTATTAACAAAGAAGCAGCAGCTAACTTCTAAATGAAGTGGTGGCGATGTGTTGACGGCGCTGCTGGCGCACCGCTGACGTGGTTTGCTCGCTGGAACTGAGTCTAGTGACGGCTTTTGTTTGGCAATCTTATCATAGTCAGTTCAAGCATTAGCGGACAGAAGACTTGTTATGTTCGCTTCAGGAGGATAAGTGCCGGATCGCCATCTGCCAGTGCTGCGTTGTGGTGAGCCAGTTTGGTTCTCTGCTAGGGTACTTACAGTCGTTCTTGTCACCTGATATCATGTAAAGAATAGCGCTATGCTAAAGTGTATACACACCGAAATTAAATCAGTGCTCGAGAGATCTCTTCAACACTCATGCAACCAAGGCGCGAGACTCGCTGTTGGGTGGGCAGGGCATACAACGTTGCACAGCATGAGAAAGCATGAAGTCGAACATGGCTGTTTACATTGGGACAAAACGTAATAATTGGCATAGAAAGAAATCTACTAATGACTTTGCCTCAAGACAAATGCTTCCTACAACTTCTGTACCTTCCCCTACTGCGACTCTTGCGTCTTCCGGTTCGGGTGCATCAACGCTTCTCCCAAATGAAACTTTTAGGGGGGGTTTGCAAAAATGTTATGCACCAAGCTTTTTCCCGAAAAGTTCATGGCATTCTAGACCGTGGCAGCGGTATTCGTGACGTGATTGCCTTTTCCGCCATCACCTGAGAAAGGAGGATCCGAGCAATGATAATCGGAAACAGCTCAGACGAGACATGGCATAGAGGAACGTAAAGAATAACGTCAAAATCGCAATAATGGATGGTTTTGTTTGAGATTGAACTGAAACTTGTCCAGTGTTAAGGCTGCAAATTTGCGAAGAAACGAAGCTGTAGTAGGGAGGAACATCCTCACTTGCATCTGTGTCGTGCACCTACACGTTTGCAATGCCTCAAATTCTACAATGTTTTGGGACAGTTTCATTACGCTCATTCGATCGTGACGTTTTCCAGCGAATCTTGAAGTTGGGTGCAAACAAAACCCAACCTGAAGTCTCGGAGCCCTCAGGGCGCAGTAACGCTCCACTCAAGTGTCGCGGCGCTACAATCCCACAGATTGTGCTTTTTATTTGGCTTGTCTTTGCATATTCGTTTTAGTTTAGTTTCATGCAGAAGCGTTCGAAGGGCTTCTCATGCCCCTCTGAAGGACCACGGCATACAGACTCTCCAGGCAGCAATGAGAAACTTAGCGGCCCATCGACGTACCCCACTCCGGAAGCAGAAAGTCCGCAATAGCACTGTGGCCCTATCTGAAGCTTTTTTAAAACTAAACTACTGTGCTTGCCACGAGCAACGCTAGCAGAAATTTCTTCAGGAAGGTGGAAGCAGTCTGGAGAGCAACAACACCGTACAGCAGCCAGCATTTCTGTGTGTCACAGTAAAAGGTCATAAGTGCACTAAACACTGAAATCAATGCCCACTGAACACGAAATCACTTGGATAGCCTCAATGCAGCCCGAGACAGGGTCACGGGCCTGCTGCAGTAGGCCCGCGTTTGAGTGGCGACTTCAGTGCTTGCTTGAAGGAAGCCTCAATTACGTGAGAGATATAAGCTGGAAAATTGTAAGTCTCTTAAATATTTTGGACTGCTGCTCTCGTAGTGATCTGCATGAGGCGCTTTCGTGATCGTATCGACGCCTATTCGCCGTTCAGCACAGGAGAGGGTGGAAGCTGCTTGCGAGTCTACAATTAAACTTACTTGGCTGGCGCTCGGGGTGGCTCCGGCATCACCCTGTCGTAGCTATGAGCAGCGCATTGCACTCAGCGGCCTGTGATTGGCTAGGCCCGCCCCTAGAGGGTGGCTCCACAGCAGAATTTCTGGTCAGCAGTACGTGTTCGCGCGGCTGCTAACGATTGTCTTTGTGTGAGGTAGCATGGAGTGCGGGGTTGTAGGCAAGTTGTGGGTTTTTGCGATATAACTGTTGTTGATAAGTCGTTTTGTGTATCGATTTATGTTCTGTCTGGTTGTCACAATGCTAGAGGGGCCTGGGCCTGCGGGTACTCCGGGTTTCCTGGAAATAAGGAACCTTCGGTGGCTTCAGGCATGAGCTGTAGTGAAGTGTCTGTGAAGTTCGAGATATAGGTTAACACTGTTGTTTTGTCTACCGAATTTTGTTTTTGGTCTGGTATGCCTGCTCGTGTCAGAGGGGCTTGCTAGTACTGCGGTTTTTCTGACGGTCTGTCGGGATAGCTTCAGTTGTCGATATTATGGCCAGCTGTGGCGTTGAATGAAATTGTCACTGCGACAGTTGTATCCTCCAAGGGCCGCCACCCAGCTGTGATGTTTCATTCGCTGAGTACTTCAGACAGTTTGCGACTTCACAATAAAGACAACCTACAGAACTTTCGAGATGGAAGGGACGGCTCTGCTGGTATTGGGGTTCTTTAGGAGATGGAAACCAGCAGCTGTCGGTTTATATTTGTTGGCTATAGAAGGGGATTTCAGCTCGGTGAGGGTCGCGTATATTACCAGCCGTAATCACTGAGAGCAAGATGGACAGTACTAACCTGGGGACAGGTAGATGCACGATTCCACAGCAACGAATCTGCATCTCGAGGGCAAAGCGGAATAGTGCAAGCAGGCTACGAGGCAGCCAAAAAGCAGTCGGATTTTGAGGACACCAGGGACCCAATGAGGCGTTTTGGCTTCCAGCTGTCAAGCGTTAAGTGACCACTCTTCGCTAGGGTTTTTCTAGAGATCTTTAGAGGTTCCGAAGCAATTTTGGGGGCTCCAGAAACCTGGCGAGTTGGCATGAGGGAAATGAACTAGTAGCTCCATTCCCAGGAAAGCATGAAGATTTCGCCAAGGCCAGGGAGTTGGAATTATATTAGCTGCTCATGCATCTTCCTGGTTTTCATGCTGTAGATGGCACCATATCCTGTTCCGTAGCTGCTGCCGTTGGTCACATTTCTGGAGCTGTTGCTTTGGTATATTCCCTCAGAAACTTCCTTCCCTACCCGGTTTCTTGTAGTGCGGGGCTAATGCAAATAGTAGCCGATGCAGTTCTGGTGTAAGGAAACACTGAAACGGGAGCAATGTCAAGAGGCCACTGTCCCCCGAAGTTAGTGGCCTCCTCCTCTCCCTTTGAAAAACGTACATTCAGGGAGCTCAGTACTTACGGGGAAACCAAGAAGAAGCAGTAAGGTGCTCCCATATAACTCATGCCGCCTTTTTGCCCTTCTGAAAGTCCTTTCGGCCCCCAGCAACAGCTGCCGACGCGCAGAATGCTTGTCGGCTGCGCCTGGGCCGCTACGCCTGAAGAGTACGATGCAGCCTACTCATGCTCTGCTAGTGTTATTCAAATGCTAATTCTAGGTCTCATTGCGCCTATTCGTCCGTACAATACTTTGAATACGGCAAATTGTTCAGTGTTTGGGCGTAGAGCCTAGGTTTATGCCGTCGCCGCTTATTCATCCCAGTCAGTTGCCTCTTCGGTTTGTTTTTTTTTATATGCATATTTTAGTCCAAATTAGCTTGAAAGCGTTTTTAATGCTTTTGGTTGACTCTTTAGGCGCCGACGTGGACCGAAAACTCGTTTCGCGTCCTTCAGTGTTGTTTAACGCGGGCGCATTCACCCCGCACTCCTTTGCGCCACTGGGGGCCCCCGAACTATCCCGGGATATTGGAATTTTTAACCCAGTGGTTCCGTTGCAATGATATTGGAAGCATTGACAGTGGGGTGAGCAGCTGTGACTCTAACATAGACTGTACCAGAACGGAAGCATCCCCTTCTGCCACAATGGAAGTCGCGGAATCTGTGCTGAGAAAAAGAGCCTCAGAAGGCATCGTCATTCGCACCAAGACAGAGCTGCAGGATAAGTGGGGTGCATCCACGTGGTCGGACACGGCTCTTGAATGCATGTACAGGGGCTTATCCCGGAGCGAACCCGAAGCAGACTCAGCCTATGAAAAGTCAAGCTGTCAAAGAGGCTGGGGATCCTCCCATTCGTATCCTTTCCTGCCTGCTCCTCGTGACATATTCGGTGGAACCCGAAGTAGCGTACGAGGGGATCCCCAGGTTAAAGATGACTGGCTGCTGGCATCTCCAGTCAGGGATGTGGGTACGGCTCTAGCACGGAGCCGCGAACAAAAGCAACAGCACCCGGAATCTGAAGATGACAACGAAGCAGCTCAGCAGCTGAGGAGCCAGCTGCTGCAGCTGCGGGCTGAGGGCCACCGACGTGCTGCCCGTCTGCGGAGGGAGCGCCAGCTGCTGCAGCAGCAGCTAGCGGAGGCACGGCAGCAGCAACAGGTGCTATTGCTGCGTCAGCAACAGCGCAGCATCTGCACAAGTGTCGGCGCCAGCCAGGGCTCTTGTGACCCGTGGGGCCCTCCCACATTATCAGTGCCTCCTACAGCCCCAGCGGGTGTCCGCAGAGGTCCTCGGGGTAGCCCCTTGCCTCCCTTTTCTCCCCGGATGGTGCTGCTACACGTTTACGACCTTACGCCAGCCATATCAAATTACGTAAATCGAATTATGAGGCCCTTGGGTGCTGGAGCCTTCCATGCAGGGGTGGAAGTCTACGGACAGGAATACTCTTTTGGGCAGACGGCAGGTAAATGCACAGCTATACTTGTAGCTAGGAAACCAATTAGCCGGCGTGCTAGAGAATTAAACAACGGGATCGGCAATTAGCCAGAGAGACAGATAGTTAGGGCTCGAATCGCCAGATAACTCGGTGAGAACCCACGTTTCTGCGCAGCTAGCAACGAATTTGGCCAGGCAGTTACCAACCTACATAGCTATATAGCGAACAAGCTTATGAGCGGGAAACATTTAGTGTTGCAGCGACTGCTGGTTCTCTGAGGCACTACGGGAGCGAAAGGGCATCACTGGAGCCATGGACACTATGGACAGCTGCAGCAACGTTACGGGGAGCAGCTGCTGTGCTTGTTATCCTGCATACAGATGAAACGACTGGCGTAAGCGTCTGCCAGCCCATGCAACACCCGGCCCATGTCTATAGAGAGACCGTACCCATGGGGTAGGTAGGCTGGTGAGGGCAAAGTTTAGAGGGTTTCGGGTTCACGCAGTTCATTAGTAAGTTGGATGGTAGGCGGGTGAGCAAGATCAGACAGTTTAGGGTTTACGTTTCATGCCTATTGTCTAGAGTCCATGTGGAAGCTAGTTGCCTAGCCTGAGCCCTTTTCCAGCCATCAAATAAGACTCTCGTCCTGTTCAGGAGGCGGAGATCTTGCTAATAAGGGAAGGCCCATCTAGGTATTAGTACACAAGGCCTCGGGTCTACAGTTCCGGGTCTGGAAATTCTCTGCAGGCCGGCCGATTTGGACATGGAAGAGTTTCTCTCGCTTGTAGAAGTTCTGAAGGTCGAATGGCCCGGCAACTCATATGACGTTCTCAGCAGGTCGGTTACTCCCTCAGATTTTAGGGTCTAGGGTCTAGGATGCATTAGCACCACAGAATGATTTCGCGTCTTGGCAGAACATTGTTCTCACCACAGAGAGCAGCAGTGCTGCTTCTTAAAGCTGCCTGCTTGCCCTATCATTTAAGCTTGCGATGCGGATGCTGCTGCCTGTGCAGGAACTGCGTGAACTTTGCGGATCACTTGTGTGTTTTGCTGGGGGTTGGCCACGTGCCGCCATGGCTTTTTAGGCTACAGCGACAGGCCAATTCGATTAAGGGGGGAGCACGAGCTGCTGCTGCTGCTGCCGCCGCTGCTGCTCGTCAGCTGCAACGCCTGAACACTCAAGCGCGGATCTCGGCCACCGCCATGGCAGCAGCAGAAGCTGCAGCCACAGCAGCAGCGGTGGCAGCAGGGGCAGCTGTCTCCTTTGGAAGGTTTATCAAGCACGCTCACCAGGTTAGAGACAGAAAAGCGGGGCTGCTGCCAGCGGGCCCCAGGGTCCCCAAGGGGGCTCTCAAAAAGCCGGAGGGGGGGCCCTCACGCAAATATCTGGGGGCGCAACATGATCCTGTTGACACCAGAAGAGTAGCAGACGCCTCCCATGAGAAGAACTCTTCAACAGTAACCGAGCAGAAGACTCCTACGGGCAATAGCCAGGAAACTCCTTGGTCTAATTTCTTTAGTGGAGTCCCCTGTAGTCTTACGGGGTCCTCACGGCCAGAAAATAGATCAGCAGTGGCCACTCAATGCATGTGCTGCAAAGCGAGCCCCAAGTGGAGCCCGCTAAAATGCCGGCCTCCCGCCAGTTGGGTGGGATCTTCACGGGGTACAGCTAAGACACCTTGAGGCTCCCTTCGTCAAAGGCCCCTAGGGACCCTCGAGGCCCCCCTCCTAAAGGGCCTCAAGAAGCCCCCTTGGGGAACCGGGGATGTCTGGGGTTCCCCTGCAGCATCATTGCTTGGGGAGGAGGCAAGCGTTACCACGACAGCATTTGTGTTCAATGTACCTCTTCGGGTGTGTCGCGACTGCTGCTGTCTCGCTGCTGAGGCATGACGCTGCTGAGAGTGATGCTGTGACATTGTGCACAGGAGGTTCGGCTCTCCGAGGAAATGGGCCGCTTGCTAGTAGAGGTAAGACCAGATGCTTTGGTTTTGAAACAGCTGTCGCAGACATTTGTTGACGGCTGCTTGCTCAAAGTTTAATCCTTGGGGTGTGTGTACACTGCAGGGCATGAGCTTCCTAAGTGAACGCTTCTCAGAGGGAGTTTCTTGCATCCCTTCAGAATGGAATGAAGAGGAAATTACAGCTTTAGAGCCTTTGCACTTGTTCGACAGGGCGCCAACGCCGCCTGAGGGGCTTATAGCGGAATCACGCGGTGCAACTTCAGAAGGTTCCGCGGAGAAGCTCTCAGAAAGCCCCGTAGAGAAGCCCTTGGAGAAACAGGGGGTGGAACGTCTAGAGGAGCTCAGAGCAAACACCTTAGTGGACCCCGGAGAGGGAACTCCGAGAGCGCTGCGAGGCGCTACTGAAGAATCTCTCCAAGGCGCCGCAATTCTCAAGAGCTGGCCACAAGGATCACTTTCATCTCCTAGTCAGGATAAAGAGCAGCAACGTAAATCACCGTCTGACTGGCCCTATACTGCTGACGCCATTTTGCCTTAAAGAGAGAATCGAAGGGTCATTCATGCTGAGGAAGGCTCCTGGGAAATTTCAGGGACACTTGAACTGCTTTCATTTTGATAAATAATATAAGGTCGCTGGGATCCGCCGAAAGGTTAATAGGACCCGTAGGTCCTGCCCCACCGCGCACAAGGGCTGTCTGTGCGCTGTGTAAAGGGGGCTTACTTGCCGTTTTCTTTCTTTTTTTCCACTTTTTTTCCATGTGATTGACAGATAAATTGCACACTTACATTACATTACTTCTGGCCATATACTTAGGTTTTTCGTAGGCAAATCCCGGTGGGATCAGAAGGCGCTGTAAACCTCCAAGTTTTCCTGCGCAGCTCCCACCAGGAGTACTTTTTGTGACTATTGAATCTGGGTAGATAAATTCGGGCTGCTACTGTAGTAGCATAAGGCCTAGGGCGAAAGGTGTTGGACTGGCAGGCGCCTACATACATGTATCAAGTGGTGGTGCGGGAATTTGGACTAGGGCTACCCAGAGCGCGCCTGTCCCCGAGAATCTGGCCAAGGATGTCACGTTATGATGACACGAGTTCTTGCACCAGAGATACGCTTTGCGGAGGTGCCCTGCTATTGGCTTCTACAAATCTTTGCAGTGTTTCTATGCTGAGGTGACCCTCTGACTACCCCTGCCAGCAAGCGTGTCTGAAACTCGTACTCTATGATTTCTGAATTCAGGTTCACAGTGTAGATCTTATTGTTAGCTGCTGATTGCGTAGATACTACACTCGGGTGACCCTCTGACTACCCTGCCAGCAAGCGCGTCTGGAACTCATAATCTAGCATTTCTGAATTCGCCTTTACAGTGTAGAACTTAATATTAGCTGCTGAATCTGTAGATCCTAAATCGTTTCCAAATGAAACGACCATTGTAGTCCTCTCGCGCTTTGTGAACCCCAGGCGTCCAGTACGGGTTCAGAGCCGAGGTCCTTGGACGTGAGATTTTCTACGGCTTGTATGATCTATTGAGGCATTACAACTGGAGAGCTTCTTAGCTTTTCTCCTGAACTCCAAAATGGGTGAGATGGCCATGATAGGATTGTATAGAATTCTAATTTCAGGCCTTACGGCCAAGGAGGCTGCTGGCCAGCCCCCAAAAGTGCTCGAGTCTCTACTGGCCATGCGATGAAATTTCACGAGAATACCCAAATGCTTATTTTTTTCTGGGAGTAACACATGAAAAGGATTAGCTCCTAAGGTTTAGTTCAAGAGTTAGGCCACATGGTCCCACCTGGAACGACTTAAGGTCCAGCCTGGAGGTCGGGCAGGCTGTTCTTTTGTTTTCACTTAAGCGCTTAGGATTTAGCGCTGAGGATTTTATCAAAAGTCATTTATTGCTCGTTTTCTGCCGATAACGCTTTCAGCCTAGCCCACTTTGGTGTATTCACTTACCTTTGCGGTTAAGATTGACGGGTTCACCTTTCGGGACTTGCGGCGCAGTGCTCTAAGAGTTTGGAGTCCTATAGTCACAGGAAACAAACATGTAGAGAAAAGCCGTGAGCACATAAGGCCTGTGGGGCCTATTGCTTGCGCTGTATGTTGAGGTCCAGGGTGCGCAGTCCAGATTTGAAGAATGCTTTCCCCTTTTTGCCCCTGAGACTAGGAGCCTGAGACCTTAGCGTTTCTTTTTTATCGGTATCTGCAGCAGTTGGATCCTTTGGGGACTTTCGAGCCGTCTGTTCCCATGGCTCCGGGTGCCTTTAAGCAGGAAAAAAAAAGTAGCTCGCATGCCAAGGCAAAAAAAATTGCAGATATATCGACTCCGTACTGCCCACAGAACCCAACGTCCTCGGCACAATCGAAAAGACCTCCATACTGAGGCATACAGGAGACGGAACATTAAAATCACCTGGCTACTGCTGCGGCAGCAGCAGGAGCGACGACAGCAGCAGCAAAAGCTTGCGAGAAGTAGACAGCGCAGCAAGGAGACGGTGGAGACTGACGAGGACAGCACACACGCCGTGCGCTTTTTTCTGCCTCTATTTTCATTCTCCATGCGACATAAAGATATGGTAGGTTAGGTACAGTGAAGTCTCGCGAAAAGCTTTGCTGTGTTGACTAGTCTGCAAAGCATTTAGTCAGTGCAGCAGAAAACAAATCGGTCACATTGCGTGCATTGAGAATGCTACTCATTCAGCAAGCCCTTGAATGCGTCTAGATATAAGGCTTGGCTAATCGGCAGGCCATGCATTGTTGACGCTAAATAGAAAGAACTTAAAACAAGGGTTTAAGAGTCCGGGTATAGGCCACAGATTTTCCTTCGTGTGCGTTACAGAACGCTAACATCAGAAGGCATTCTTGGACTTCCAAGCAAAACTCCCCTCAAAACCGGAAAGGGCCACTTAAAACGCTGGCGGACATGCGTAGGCGATGTAGGCTTAGGCACTCAGGAATAGAGTTTGTGGTTTAGGCTTCCAAGCCTATGGAAACACATTTCTCAGTGCTAACAAGGCAGAATTCACGGTTTATTACTCAACGTCTAGTAATTTTGGCTCATGACATAGGGTTTGGCGTGGTTTCAGGGAGGGGAGCAAGAAGAAACAGGGACAAAGAGCCTGCAACCACGGCAAGTCAAACGTAACGTCTAGAGATCAAAGCTCAGGGGTCTACGTCTTTGGCGTAGGACTGACAAGAGAGGATATCGAAACTGTCTTCTGGCAAGAGGAACAAGCGATTAAGATTAATCTGCATTATTATTCTGGCTGACATTGCTGCTGCGGGTGCTGCTTCTGCGGTAGCTGTTGCCGTATCCTCAGGCGCCCTCGTCACAGATTTCCCATAGAAGCAACAAAAGCACAAAAAATGTCGCCACGCTTGAGGTACGAGGGCTTGAGGTACGAGGCCTTGAGGTAGGGGGCTGAAGCCATATAACCAAGTGTAGTGCTAATAATATGGAGTATGCACTAAGACGTGGACCTGAAGCTCTATGCTGTGAGCCCAACAACGAAAATCAAGTGTTTATTGTTGCAGCCCGAAAACGCTGCTGTGGGCCCTCTCTTCCGTCCTGTCAACTCTCACGAGCTGGTCCACCCACAAGATAACCAACAACCCCAGGAGCCGCAGGACACCCAGCAACACTGGGGGGTCGAGTGCCTCAAAGGAAATTCCAGCAGCAATTTGCCCAGTCTGGTATCCGAACGCACACAAAGCCTTTGTGAAAGGGTGTCAGCAGGGAAGCCTTCGCAACCCTCAATGAAGTGTTACAGAGGGGATAGAACTGGGTTGCCACTACTAAGAGATATCACGTGCGTGAATTCGCCATTTGTAGCGTCTCAAGGTCCCCTAGAATCAGCCAAAGCGAAGGAAGCTTCTCTAAAGCAAACAGTAGAGGCAGAGCGTGAGCTGCTTCGGCTTCCCGGGGGTTCGCTCCCTGCAGTTGGGTTTCCTGTGCAACAGAGATACGAGGTGAGGCCGCAGCACGAAAAGAAAAACAGCGAAACGCTGCAGGGGGCTCTCAAAGCGAGAGTTCTTATGCAGCAGGGCAACTCTGTCCCGCTGCAGCACGCAGCAGACTTATTTCAACAGGGCACTCAGCAACAGGAGAGGGAGCAGCACTGGTCGCAGAAGCAACAGCAGCACACGGAAGGAGCGCAGCTGGAACAACTGTCGCAGCATCAACATCAACAAGAGCTGCAACAACACCAACACCAACAAGAGTTGCAGCACCTGTCTTTTCTCAGAGAAATCCAACAACAGCAACAAAGGCAGCAGCTGCAGCAGCTGGAGCAGTTGCAGGAGCTGGAGCAGCAGATTCAGCAACACCAGGAGCATGAGCAGAAGCAGCTGCAGCATCAACAGCAGCTGCAGCAGAGCCACTTGCAACAGAGTAAAAGCATGCAGCAGCACGAACTGCAACAACATCAGCAACTTCAGAAGCAGCTCGACATGCTGCAGCTAGAGAAGCAGCTGCTACGGAAGAAAGAGCTGCTGCTCCTGCATCTCCAAGAGCATCAACAACAACGTCTCCAGGTGGTCTCTCTCGCAAGCTCCTCCTTGAACGGCACCTCGGGGACCCTTATGGGGCTCCCAGAGCCCTCACAGGATCTCGTGTGTAGTTACGGTGGATGCAGAGCCATAGAAAGGTCTATTTTGAGAAGGCTCAGTGGTCCCAAGCAACTTCTAAAAGAGGGCTCTGTGGTTACGGGGAAGCCTTCAGGCGCTGTTAAGGCTACTCACGGAAAACACAACAGAAAGAGTTCCGCCCGGCTGACACAAACGAAGGGGGTTCTTTCAAAAGAGCTTTCTTCTTCCAGCTCTCGTAGAGTTTTCAGGGCCCCCAACAGCAAGCAGAGAAGGTCCCAGGAGCCGAAGACATGCGACGGCAACAGCGATTGCCCTTTTCCTACGTTTGATTCATGTGTAGTGGGGAACACTTCAAAGGTGATTTCGAAATATATGCAGGGCGGGACCCAAAGAAGAATTAAAAGGAGCAGCAGAAGGTCTTCCATCTTGAATCGGGTAATGGAAGGGTCTATACTAAGGGAGTGCTGCAGCCCAGAGGACCTAATGGGAGACGGCGCTAGAGGAGCTTCTCGGAGGAGAGTCCCTCTTAGAGAGGCTCCCTTAAAGAGCAGCCGACGAAGTTTCAAACCCAGAAGGCCCCCATATCAGCATGCCAACAGCCTACGTGTAGCTTTGAGACCAGATTGGAATAACCGAAGCCGGAAGGGCTCTCATCACCAAATTTGCACTAGTGCCACTGAGGGTTCTTGCACCTTCGAGGGCTCGCTTTCTTCTCTTTCACTCACGGTGGATCTCCGTCTGGGGCTACGAAAACTTAGTAACCAAGGGCGAAGCCTAATATACACAGCTTGGCAGCGCATCAACCTGGGGCCTCCAATGGGGACCAGCTTTAGGGAGACGGGATGGGCTGTCAAGCAAAACAGTAAGGAGGCGTGTACGGGGGCTTGTGTGGGCAATCATGAGGGCCATTTGCATCCTCTGGTGGTTTTGGACGCTACAGACGGCGTATCAGATGGTCTCAGTAGCCATGCAGAGAAGCGACTGGGCGTCAAGTGTGGTCTAGTCGCATCCTCCGCATGCAGGAATGGTACAGGAGGTGAAGCAAAACACTCCAGGACAAGTTGTGCCGCCATAAACGGGGCCTCTTTAGCGAACACCACGGAGGATCCCTGCAAAAAACGTCCCATAAGTGAAGAAATGGCGATCCATGTACCTTTTCTGGGGGCCATCAAGGTCGAAAAACCACAGTTGTTGAAGCGTACCCAGCAGAAACTTCAACCGATCTGTGGAGCTCCCTTTACCCCAGATCATCAAATAAAACCAGCCGTTGAGAAGACAAAAAAGCAGCAGCAGCAGGTGACTGCTGAAGAAACTAATACGTTTGCAGACGTACGGGTGGGCCCTCTTGAGAGAGGTGAGAAAGGGGATATGCCACCCAGCAGAGCTGATGAAGAGGAGCTTGCTTCGTTTGCTCAAGTAGATGAGGCTGCTGTTAAGCGCGAATCCCCACTTCAGAGGCTTTCTGAGGCTTCCAGCCTTGAGAGCTTCGGAAGCATCTATGGGCCGCCTGCCTTTCCCTGTCTTTTCTGACGTATGCCTACTAAATCAAAAGATGGAACTTTATACCAACACGCTAGTTGCTACCTAGCCAGTCAGCTACCGGTAGCTTGCCCGTTGTTGGTAAGCATGTTTAACTAAATACCTATATGCGAGCTATCAAGCTAGCTACTTTGTTGCAGATTCAAGCAGCTACCGCTTTGCTATCTTAACTATCAAGAACATTTGCTTCAAGTACGAATACAGTCTCAAGGATAGAATACGGGCGCCGGGGATCGAACCCGGGATCTTTCGCGTGTGAGGCGAACGTCATAGCCACTAGACCACGCCCGCCCTGGAGATACCGCAGTCTTTGCATTTCTATCTAAGCAGAGGCAACCCACCAATTGCCCTCCCGCCTACCTCGCTAGTTATCTCCTTCGCTGGGTATCGAGGTGTATGCACCCACCTTGCGAACCGTTGAGAATGCCATGGACCTGACGGAATCTATGTACGTGCTTTTAGGCAGTTAGCGCTAGTTGCTGGAATCTAAAAAGTGGGCAGTAGGAAAAACCATACGGGCGCCGGGGATCGAACCCGGGATCTTTCGCGTGTGAGGCGAACGTCATAGCCACTAGACCACGCCCGCGCCACTGTCATTGAGCCCTCTTCCTGCGTATCTGGTTAGAGACCCTCCTCATCTTGCGTCAATTTGTCTATTGATCACGCTGAGTACGTGGCTTGGTAGCTAGACGCCTAGCCAGATAGTTTTTGCGAGTTGGGAAATAGTGCGCAAGCGGAACAGCTGAATCTGGAGGACTGACGTTAATGCATTAGGAAAAAACGATGGCCAGGAAAACTACTACGGGTGCCGGGGATCGAACCCGGGATCTTTCGCGTGTGAGGCGAACGTCATAGCCACTAGACCACACCCGCGATGCCAAGGCCACACCACTCATGTAGGTGCGCTAGCCAGACGTTCTGTAGATGTGTAGCTTGTTGTGTAGCTGGCTTGGTATCGGGTTCAATGGCTAGCTCGGATACAGATAAGAAGATAAACACTTGCAAAGTGATAGAAGCCGATGCGCACTGTGACGGTGACCGATGAGAAGGCGCATAAAGATCGCAGACTGCAACGACGATGCTTGTGCTAGGATCTAACAGGGGATCATCTATGAGTGGGACACGTACCGTAGCCACTAGAATTCTTAAGCAGAATCAGATCTACAGAAACGCTTGACCTTGTGAAGCGACCACGATAGAGCTTTTGCAAAATGGGATGAGCAGTAGTCACACAATGGCTCTACAGCATGTTATGTAGGCGTATTTCCAGGTGATCCCATTTCGTGCCCCCATTTCGATCCCATTTCGTATTTGCCAGATCCTCAAGTCTAGGAGCAATTTACTGCCGAGCGAGCTTACATGAGTCTCCTCCAGTCCCCTTCCAAGCCCCTTGGCCGCTTGTGCCAACGGGGAAATTCAACTTGTATGATACACATACACTTTAAGGCTCTCAAAGCACGTCTTGACAACGGTTCGTGATTAAACAATAAGGAAACTATGCAGAAGAAGCCGCTCTGCAACGCGTAAAAGCTTAAACAGAAGGAACGTCGCCGGTTAGATTGTCATACATCGTGCTCACTAGGCCAAAAAACGGAGGAACAAAACCAAATTTTGGAGATGTTACGAGCTCAATGGGCCAAAGCCGCCGTTCCTAGCTTGGAAGGCAAAATTCATGGCCGGCAGATCACTTTGTCGTCGAGACACCGCCTTTGCTGGCTTGTCCCCACTAACCACTTGCGTGAAAGTCACGTGCCCAAACTCTTGGCCAGGTAGGTCTGGCAGGCAGTAATAATGGGAAACAAACAAATACTGCTAGTGGGATGAATAATTAATGCTACGGAGGAAATGTACGAGAACAGCATTAGTCCCTTGTGCTTCATCCAACAAGCAAGGGGCGCCGGACCTGTTCTGCTATGTTTACGTTTTGTGATCTGATATAAAGGTTGCTGTCGTGAAATAGAACATTAAAATCTAAACTTCGTTATGCTGTTGCTGCTTTTGCTGCTGCCATTGGTGTAGATGGAAACAAACCAAGCACACACCGTGCCAGTAATCAGAGTTGCCTGCACAAGGGTATCCGTCCCTTTCTCTTGTACTTTCCCTTCCAAATTAACAGGAAAACGAGGATATTTAATATCTGGCATATTTTGCAACTGTGTGGAAAAGGCGGGTAAGGAGGCAGGTGGAGCCTCGATGGCTTTTAGTCGCTAGTCCAGTAATCATGGCTGTTGGACCATTGGTCTTTCCTGACTTTCTTAATCAAGTCCAGTTTAAAAAGCTGTGGTTTCTTTCATAAGCTATTAACACACAGGCTTTTTTGGCAAGGAAGCAGGCATGTACCACCAACAGAGAGAGTGCGGTAGCTGCGAGGTGACCCAGAGGCGGTAGCTGCCACCCCTTTTGCAGCTCGTCTGCTGCCTTGTCTCTCGTCAAGCTATATCCGCATTGTTGGAGTTGAAATGCACAGATGAATTTAGGGGACACCTCCCTCTGCCCGATGATTACCGCCGTTGCTTCGCAGATCGTCTTTATCTCACTGTCTGATCCCCACGTGTATTTTTCTGCTTCAGCGGCTTGTCTTCACCGGCCCTGCCGGTCCACTCTTTAAGCACGGCTTCGACCGCATTGTAGTTAATTTCCCGTCCTTTCTTTGCATGTGAACTATGGGGGACTCTCGTGCAGAATGCCTGTCTCGCGCGATACGGGCCTCTGGGCTCGCCTGGGCTGGCTGTGGTTCACTGTCTGAGAGCTTGCGGTCTTTCTTGGTCTGTCGTTGTTGCATCACATGGCTGAACACAGTAGAAGCTCTCCTGCCTTTGTCGCTTACATGCCTAAGCTGGGCTGGTGCCTTGGAGCAGCAGATCGACATGGGGGAGGTCCCAGTGGTGGTGACATTCCCGTGCGTAGCTATACTACTGCGGCAGCCGCAGGAAACCAGGAGTAGTCTTGTCTCTTTGATTTCTCGTGCCGCCCAGACCTCCCTCTTTCTTGATTTTTCGAGGGTCTCCGGCCCAGCTCCTCTCCAGAGCGCCGCTGAGAAAATTGGGAAAGACATATTTACGGGGATGCACCACGCCGCTGAGTTGTCGCTCGACCTCGAAGCATGGGACTCTCCTCTGGGCAGCTTTGTGATGGAGTTGTGCAGACTCATATCCAGGAGCACCCATACGCTAGACACCTTGCAGCTCAGGGGGGCCACCCTGCACCGCCGCATGCGCGTTCTGCTGGTATCAGGGTGCAGCATAGACTCTTTACCCAGAAGACCCTTGTCACCGAGCATTGAAGCCAACTGCGCTAGCAGCAACGCACGCAGCCGCAGCAGCAATGATTACAGCAGTGGCATCAGCAGTAACAGCGAACCGCCGCAAAACTGGGGTGTAACATCTAAAAGGATTGAAGAAGAACAGGACAACGGTGAGCCTAGCCCACTGCACCCACAGCTCAGAAGGCCCCTGCCCTCTCCTCCCGCCTCTGGTGCTTTCTCTGTCCCCGTTTCCCCTCCCCTCTCTCCTCCCCATGCGTCAGCAGTAGCAGCAGAAACTGCAGCAGCAACGGCAGCTCCACGATCTGATGACTGTCCTATCTCTCTGGGCTCCGCTTCTTGGGAGACGTTCAAGGGCAGCGTCAGTTGCCTCACGGATTGGGGGTCGTCTCCAGGAGACTCCCCTCGTCTTTCTCCGCAGGGCTTGCGTAAGCGCAACCTGTTTTACTTGCCTATCCTCAAGCGGCTAACGGTAGAAGGCTTCCAGCTTTTGGAGTTTTTCGAGGCCCCCAAACTCCAAGAGAATGCGATTACCCTCACTTCAGAGGCTCACAGGCACGAGTCTATCTTTAGAATGCAGGAAGCAGGGCTATCTTCCCAGAGGGGTCTTCGCGGGCCCCTCCAAGTCCCTGCCCATCGCTACTGGGGTTCAGAAGTCTCTTTCACGCACCCCTGCCTTGCAGTTAGATTCATATCCCTCAATGGCGTTCACCTTCGCGCCATGGACATCGTAGGTTTCATGGAGCCCCCCGCCAAGAGTGGCGTAATAAAGTGGATCAGAAGGGCCCTCGAATCCAGCAACAAAAATGCATCCGCAAATAAGCAACGGTTGCAACAGCAACAGAAGGAGCCACCAGACCAGCAACCTGCGGAGCAGGCAGAGGGCTGGCCAGTTGCAGAAGATAACACGAAAAGGACAGAAGATTGCCCTCTTGTGGAAGCTTATGAAATGGGTGCCCCTGGAGGTGCCCGTGAGAGCTTCCCTAGTGGCCCTGGAATGGCTTGTGGTGCGACTGAGCACTCTGAGATGTACTGCAGAGAATGCATCTTGTTGCGGCAGGGGGAAACGGGGACCAGTGCTTGGATTGGCTGTTGCCGTCTTCCAGAGCTGGAGGAGCTGCGCCTAGACGACATAACATTTCTTGCATTCATTTCCGCCCCCTGTCTTCGACAGCTGGAGGTCAATGTGTGCAACAGCGGGGAGTGGTTGCTGCTGTTGGAATTTCTCAGACTATACGGATGCCACCTAACTCAGCTTAGCGTTTGGGCAGAAGACGTCCCCACCAACTGGCTCGACACTGTCCCCTCAGACCGCTACGGGGGTCGGCCTGAGGGTTTGGCGGGCTCCAAAACCTCCGCTGAGACGGCTCTCCTGGTATCATTTTTGCACAGACACGCCCTCACGTGGGGTGGGGCGGCGGCTACGCCACAGGAAAACCTCAGGCAGGCTCCAGCAGGGGCCATTCGGCGTGTCTCGTCAGCTTCCATGCTGCGGGCTGTGGGGCTGCACCACCTCCGGAGCCTCAGCTGCCCCAGCTGCCTCTTGGCTGAGCTCAGCGCAGCTTCCAGCGTCCTCCCCGCCCTCAAGAACCTCGACACCTGGGGAGACAGTCGGAGGCTCGCAACGTTTCTCCAGCAGAAGAGACAGTTGGAGACTGTACGCGTTCGCGGACTAACCGGTTCCAAAAATGTCAGTACCTGGACTGAAAGCAGTAGCAGCGTCAACACGAGCAACGAAACTGCCCCGCACAAAGGCATACTCTTGAAAAGCGATAGACTGAGAGGACTGAGATCTTCAGCCTCGGCAGCGTTTCTTCAAGAGGCTGATGCCCTCACGGAGTTCTCGGGGCCGGGATGTATTTTAAATGCGTGGCAGCTTTGCCCGAAACTGAAGAGACTTGAGGTGAGCTCACTTTGCGGTGTATAGATCTGTTAAGTATTTTTTCCGGGTTCTTGCCATAACCTCTTCTTGTAAGCGGCGTACTGCCCCGCTTACAATACTTCCGTGGTGTGTAGCATAGCAACGCGCAGTGTGAGCATCTCTGCAAGTGTTTGACCGTTCCTTTTGCCGTCTTTGCATGCGGTGTTCTGCATTTGTGTCAATCCCTGTCTTCTCGATTGTTGTTTGACGCAATGCCTTTCTGTCGGATTGCATTTGCCCGTTTTCCCCACTTCTTTGTTTACTCAAGCCTTTGTGGTTCTCTCTGTCTCTACCTTGCCTTAATTTTTAACCCTCTCTCATCTTTTTCCAGCAACTGCGCCTGTCTAACTAAGGCTGACGAATGCCACAACTGCTTTCCCTTCCCACGCACTGTCATTTACTGGTTGCAGTTGATAGAAAACGCAGAACTTGCTGATCAATATCTGTTGAGCGGCTGCACACCTCATCTGGAGACTCTATTGTACGGGGGCCGTTTGGTGGTGCCGCCGCCGGAACTCGCGCAGGCTTGCCAGGGCCTCCGTCAACTCCGCGTCCTGCACGCGTTGGTTTTGGACTTAGCAAATTTTCCAGACCCGTCTGATCCAGAAACATCTCAACGCCCAGCACCTGGGGGGGTGGAGGGAGTCATCTGGGGCCCTGGGCCTCTGCCTGACCTTTGGGCCTCACCGGTTAGCTCCCGTGTAACGCCCTTAAAAACGGAACAGAGGGACCCATATGAGCCTGAGAAACAGGCAACTTCCGGGCCTCCTGTGAGGTTCTTGGAAGGCTTGGAACAGCTGTATGTTCACCGGCTGATGGCAGCTCCGCGTACATTTCACCACTACCTAAAGGCAGCACGCCGGCTGCGACTCGTGGCGTTCCAGCGGTGTGTCGGTGTGAGCCTAAGTTCGGTTGTTTGCACATTGCAAAACTTTGGCTTTACCCGGATGCAGCAAGACACTTTACCCAACCCCGAGTGCAGGGCCTTCGCCGCCAGCTTCAACGGCGGAAAGGTCCGCGACCGGTTCGTGGTGATGAAAAGGGAAGCATGCGGCAGCTAGATTTCTGACGTTCGATGAACAAACACACGTCAAGGAGGAGTAGAGAGGCTACATATATAAGTGCAATGAAGTGCCAGCGATGCAACCGCAGAACGCAGCTGCTTCTATGGCAGCCTCGCACGAGATTGCAGGCTGCTGCTAGAACTTCTTGGTTCATATGCACTGCAACGCAGCTGTGAAAAGAGGCCTATCTGGAGAGCTTCTTCAAAAACCAAATATGCCGTCAAAAGAACCAAACGGACACGTTTTCGTACTTTTGTTATTTAATCAACTCAAGGCCTGCAGGCCAAAATGATGGTGATAGCCTTCACAGAAAACCCTCTGTCTGCAGGCCTGCACTTCATGAACCCCTGCCCAAGTTATGCTGCTTGAGGGCTTTTTTGGCCTTGGGCCTATATATCGATTTGGCTGCTGGGAAAGGAACCGCGAGGTTACTAGCTCGGTTGTAGTTTCCGTGGACTTCATCTAGCTAGGCAAGACGATGTGGAATGAGCAGCTAGTTCAAGCCTGGTACGGGCATTTCTTGGTCAGTTAGAAGCCAAGGATCCGGTGGTTCTCTGAGGCAACACGAGATAGCGGAAGCCGCAAATCCAGCTTGCATGTGTTGGGCAACAATGTATGTACACTTGTGCGCAGGAACAGAGCACTTGCATGCAGCTACGCGTGAATTCTGAAAACTATTAAGTGAGAGTGAGAGGAACCAAAACATTGCACTCGTTCTGGCAGTAAACTGCAGGTTCTTGAATGCCACAGATGCATATTAGATGTAATTGGAGATATACACACAGAGAACGGAGAAAACACTAGGAAAGAGAGGGACTGCACGCAGGTAATGTAGGCATGGTTGCACAGTGGACTCCTCTAGCCACGCACATCTCCGCCGTGCACATACTCTGAACGTAAAAACGTAAACTCAGGGTTACAGTGAAACTATTGCTTCATCAGGGAAACGGAAGAGGATCTCGAGCGCACCTTTGCTGCCCGAGGACATCTCTACGCAGCACTACATCTGCGGCATAAGGCAGGGTATCGAGGCAAAGAGAGGCCAAGTGGCCCTCTCTGAATAAATTCAAGAAAAACACAAAACCGCGAGAGAGGTCCACAGGCGGTAGACTGAAGCGCTCTTGCCGCCGGCCTAATGTCTGGCAAATGTGGCGGGACACCTGCAAAACGCAAACCGCAAAGCTTATACTTAACCAATAAACCATAGCGCAAAACAATGCGCTAAAAAGCAAGGATTGGTCGTATTTCTGGGAAAGAGAGGGCTTCAAAGCACACAGACGGAGACGGAAAGGAAGGACAGGAAAAGCAGGCAATGGCCTTTTAGTTACCTCGTAAATGTCGTTTGTGGGCCCGTTTAGCCCTAGCACTTGCACGTAGCCAAACTGCCGGTTCTTGTTAAGCTGGAAGAGGAGATAATCTGCAGCCAATTCTTCCCCTATAAGGTGTTCTGGCAAAATGCCCAAAACTCCCAATATCAAACTTCTGCCCGGGTCGCAATTCCTGCACATATCGAAATGGGGCTCTACTGTAGGGGGATAACGATTCCAAATATAATCTGAGTGCTCTTTACTCCATACTGCTGCCAGCACTAAACATTAAGTGCATTGAAGACTGGGAGAGGCTATATGCTAATTCGCTTTACACAAATAAGCATTTTGGGAAGGACGTACAAAGGCAAGTACTGCAAGAGAAGACAAAGAATCGAAACATATGCGGTCGTCTGCGTGTGCTTGCATTCAGGTCCATACATCGGTGTACATACACACCCACTTGTGTGTTTAACACTGCACTGCACATTTACTGCACAGGTGCCATCGCATGCAAATAAAGGCAGACAGGCCACTCATTGAAAACAAAAGCATGCACGCACATTCAGACCGACTTAGGCAAAAGAATGCCTGGAGAATCGAAGCAGAAAACTTTTGGTTTATTCGTCAATTGAAACGCATTCACATCTCGCGTTACTCCAGGCAGCTTCCCCGTTTTCGCTGTTGTTTTATCTGAAAGAGGCACCAACGGGACAGACGCAAGGTGTAAATCGTGGGTCACTCAATTGCACGTGCGACAAAGATGACAGGGCTCTGCAGAGCTGCAAATCGCCACTATATATAGCCGATTAAGACACTATACCAAAAGCCGCAAATGAGACGCACGCAGCTGGTGCATGCATAGCATTCATGCGCATGTGTACGCTTGCGTTTACGCTTTTCTCTTCGTTTGTCGCTGTGTAGAGCAGTTTTCCAATTATGCGAAGGCCACTTTGCGCATGTGTTGCTTTGTATAATTTTAATCTGGAGTTTGCATCTATTCATTGAGCGCGGTCGTGAGCACGGAGCTGAATTTATGTGTAGTCTGTTTATGCGAATGCACTTTCCAAACGAGCATACGCCAAGGCTCAACGGGCTTCTAGTTGGAAGTTCGGGTCCAAGCTTTAGGTTTTAAGGGTAGAATGACTCACTGACACCCTGAACGAGTTGATTGCCGGGTTTCCCGTGAAAGCTCGCCTGCGGCCATAACAGGCATTCAGATGCCCGAAAGCTCAAACTGTTCGAGAAATTAACAGAACAGACACAGGGAATCCCCACACAATTTCTTGATAAAAATCTAGTCCCCTGTGAAACAGGGGACTAGGTTTTTCTAGATCTGTGCGGCGCACGCTAACCCCGTCAATCCCAACCATCACACCCACTCCACGGCTGGAACAATGATGCATGTACGGTAGCACGGATGCAGCACCCCCAATTAATACCTTTACAATCATTCGCCTTAGGGACGTTCAAGGCTGGTTCCTGTGATGAATTGCGTCAGGCCTGCCCTTTCGGGCTAATAGTTTAGGACTGCTTGGTGGGGAATAAACATACGAAGTCTACGTGTTAGCCCCTCAGGGTATAAGACTTAGGGTGTACAGTTTACGGAGAAGGCGAGCGCCTTGAGCGCATTAAGAATTGAAGACTTGCCGGTGTTGGGAAGCCCGGCCAAAAGCAGCCAGCGGCCGATGCTGCTAAATTTGGGCTCCGGGGTCCCCAGCACCCATTCAGTAACCTTGTGCAAGCCCTTGCGCTGTTTTGCAGAGACTAGGACGGACTGCATAAAGACAAACAGGAAGGAGGAGCAGTGAGACGGGAGGCAAAACTGAAGAGCAGGAGAAGAACGTGCAAATACATACATGGACGCAGGCAGATGTGAGGGTGTGGAAAAAAAACCGCGAAACGAAAAAAAGTAGCAAGGAGTCCCAAGCACTCAGGCAACGAAACAAGCGCGTGGACGCATTTGACGTTTTCGGCGGAAAACGCAAATATTCATCGACCCGTTCACAAAAACCAGTGGATCTTCTGAAGAGTCGTTCCGAACAAGAACAAGCGGCTCTTCTGAATAAGATAAAGGGTATTAAGCAGCCACTCATCCAAAACACTCAGTAGCAGAACTGAACACAACAACCCACTAAAGTAAGCTTGGTTGCTGTAGCCACTTTGACCTTAACACTGTCATCCCCACACTTCATGCCATGAACCCTACGCCCGAAGCGTGAATTCTAGATTTAAGAGACAGTGCATCACCTCCAGGCCGGCTGCCTGGAGTAGTTCTTGCGCCTTCTGCAATGAAAAACAAGAGCACATTCTAGGAAGAACAATTAAAACCAGCGTATAAATGGACTATAAAACTGTTATATTATACGGCAAAATTAACCCTTAGCACACAATTTCTGCTTCCTAAGAGAGAAGCGTATGCTATGAGCCTGGGGCCAGAGCAACGCCCTCCAAACCAGCGCTCATTGACGGGCGTTTCGACCCTGAACCCTGAACCCTAAATCATTTGAGGCCCACTTTTGCATCTGTAGAGGAGACAAGGTCGCACTTGTTCAGAACAATTAGCCGCTTCAGATGCTTGGGAGGCTTTATGGCTTCAAGACACCCGCTCGAAGTGAGAGGGGCTCTCGCATCTCTAACCTGCAATAGCAGTGGCGCCAGAACTAATACGAGCAGCATAGTCAGAAAGCTCTGCATACGCGCTTCCACTTCCTTCCTCTCCTGTTAACAGTTCTTCGCATTCAAGATACAGCCACCCATGCGGGTTTGATAACAAAGCAAACGAAGGCAGAAGGTGCAGAGTAGCGACAAGACAAATGAACAGCGACCAAGACCCACCTCTACGAGGCAATCCACCTCTGCTGCCTTCTTCTGAAGCTCCACCACACCACGAGACATGTGAGGAGGAAAGTAGCACGCCTTAGGGGCTGCACGTCCGAACGCCATTCGGGCTTGAAAGTCAGGAAATTGGCAGTTGACGCCATTCCGTGATCCCCGTTGTCCCTCGGGGGCCCCTATGGAGAATGCCTCGAGATTATCCTTACAGGCGCCAAGTGAGGGATGCAATTTTCCATTCGTCGATGCACGTTTAGGGGCAGTCTTCGGCTGACCACGAAGTGCCAACAAGAAGTCACTCAAAAGGGGAGACCCTGAGGCCCCTAAGCCCCGGGCTTTCTGGGCAGCCCTGCCCCGCATCTAAATCTGACTGAAATTTCCAGAAGTCTTCTACAGGCTGTAGGAAGTGATGAACGTGGTGCTTTTTAGGCCCATGAGACCTTCGTCGGGGCCTGCTGTCAGCGTTGGTAGTGAGCAAGCGCAACCACGACCTGCAATGCGGAAGAAGGAAATAATTAGAAAACCAGCGAAGAATTGATGTTTTCTTGAACATCTGAAGAAGATGAAGGTCCTCTAGAGGCCGAAGTAGTGGAGCAAGCACAGGAGGGCCTAGTATCTGTTTTGAAACTTGGGCCCCATTATGTTAACAGGCTCCAACATCACAACACAACTCGAAAGAGCCCAAATAATTTGCAGAATATGCATTCAGGAGCCTAAAATGCTACCGAATTATGGGAAATTTGAGAGGGGTATCGAGGGCTTTAAAGATCTGCCGGCTGTCTGGCGTGTGGGGCCCCCGCATAAGGGCTTCCTTCACTACTCTGGACCGTCAGCCTTCTAGTTCGACTGAAGGTCTTTTTTGAATTTGAGTGGGAAACAATGATATTTGTTAGTGAGCGGCTAAGTTTCAGGACTCCGGGCTTGAAATTCCCTTAGCAGGCAGCTTTCGGCACGAGCAGTGCCTGAGCGTGCCTCACTCACGTTGGAACAGTAAGCCCGTTCATTTTCAGTCATTGCCTAGTACAGCAGGTCAAGATGGAGGCTTGGGGAGCCGACTGCGGGGCTGGAGCCTCCGTGTCTCTCCAAAACGTGGCAGAGGCATTCCAGGCGTACCTGAGCATGAGCCTAAATGAACGCCAGCTACTGGGGTATATGTACGCATCAGCCCCAGGTCGCCGCCACTTCCTCCGACAAGCAGCTGCTGCAAAATCCAGACAGCTGTGTGCCAAGTCTGTCGCCTCGCAACTCAGTTCTTTTGCCGCAGTATTGCACAAGACGCTGGGGTACACCGAGGAGAAGAGCCCCCATGGGCCCCAGAACAGCTGCCCGCAGGACGGCACTCAACCTCTGAGGTCCCATGAGGAAGTGGCTCATGCGTGGGTCTGCGCTGTAGAGTTCTGGCTGCAGCACGTGCAGCAGCTGCTGGCTTTTGACGCAGCAGCAGCAACAGCACTAAATGCAGCAGATGAAGGCCCCCCAGATATTACAGTTGTGTGTAGGGAGATGGAACAGCTTTCCAGCCCGCTAGCTGCTGTGGCAGCAGACTCAAAGGTGCAACCCGCAGATGTCGCTGTTGCTGTTTCTACTGCAGCGCAAGTTTAGTGACCCCAACCATGCGTTGCTACGCTTCGCATTTGCTGCCACTCGGCAGCTCTGTAGAGCAGCTCATATTTCTATCCTGTCCATATTTACTCATGTGCTCCTGTGGGTGGCTGTGGTTCTTGCGTGCTGCGCCACTTGTGCAGCTGCCGCTGCATACGAGGAAGGCTTCCGGCGAGGTGCTCTTGCTGATGGCGGTCGTGGCACTCAGTGTCTCTCATGGGACGTTTCCAGGGGGGGCGCTAGAGCCGACGAAGGCGCAAAACCAAGGCAATTCAACTAAGAGAAGGCAGATACTGCGGCGAGTTCTGCGGAAGGCTCTTCAGGGCATCTTGAGCGCTCCAGGAGACGGCACTGACGGGGCCTCAACTGCCATGAGGGTACTTTAAATTGCACTCAGAGCTCTTTCTGCTTTGGTTTCGATTGTGCACTGTTGGTATTTGTGTCGTCTCCATGCAGCTGTATTGCTGAAGCTTTATTATTACTGCAGCTTTGGCGGGTCCTGGTACTGCGACTGCTGTCCATGCTCAGGAGGAGGCTGTTGCGGCCGCGCATGCGGTGCTGCACTGGCGTGGGGTTTCTCGGGGTTCCTTACGGGCATCTGTGGGACCCCTTGCATTGTCTCTTATGGAAGTGGCTCAAAAGGGCGCCCTTATGAAATCCGACGTCACCGCTGCTGTGAGACCCTCAACCCCAAACCCTACGCCCGAAACCCAAACTTTCGTAACTGGTAATCCCTGGCTCGAGACATCCATAGAGTTTCATGAATGGAGATATGTCTCACTTCACGCGTCAGGATGCCCATTTACGTCTGCTGTGTTTGCAGATGGGTCGTTCACTATTGTGTCGTCTCACCTGGCTGTGGCGTCCCTCTTCAAGACACGCAGCTCAGGGGGATCCCGTGCAGCAAAAGCGGGGGCAGCAAACCCCATTCGGTGTCCCATGTCTGTTTTCAGAGGCCCTCAACAGTGCGCAACAAAGTGTCGTTGGCCTCTTGGGTGCCCACAATCCAGGTGACCACCGCGAGGAGGCCTCCAGCGGTCCTGAACGCTTTCTTCTACTCAGGTCTCTTCAGATTATCCGAGACTTGCTACTGTATGGTGAGCATGCGCCGCTGGCTGTGGCTGCTATGGCGGATGTGGTTGTTTTTGCTGCGGTGGCTGCTATTGCTTGTGCTTTTGTTGCTACAGCACCAGCAACACTACATAGCGTTACTCATGTTGCTCCTGCTTTCTTCCCTCCATAAAAACTGAAATGCATGGTATACTGCTGCCGTCAGCTGCTGTGTTGCTGGCACTGCAGGCGCTGGCCAAACCTTCCCATCACAGGGTGCTGTCTCGGCCGCCTTGCTTCAAGTTGAAGAAGAAGGAGGCCGGTTTTTTATCGTTAACGTTAATAGTTTGGGGGCAACGCTTCTTGCTGCCACGGCTAGGTGCTGCGAGGCATTTGTGTCTGGAGTCACTGCAGCAGCCGCAGCTGTGGGGGACTTTTCAGCACCGCAGCAGCAGGAGCAGGAACAGCAGCAGGAGCAGCAGCAGGACTCGGCATTGCCCACGACGCCGAAGGAGCAACCGCAGCACCAGCCGTTTCTCCTTCGAAGAGGCGGTAAGGGTAGTCAAAAAAAGTGGAGGAAGCAGCTGCAGCAAATGGAGCAGCACCAGCAACAACGCCAGCAGCAACAGAATGACCGGAACTGCCAGTCGGCTTCAGTACTGCAAAGCAGCAGCAGCGCAGAGAGGGAAGGTGCCCCTAGGTCCACTAGCAGTGATAGCGGTGGCATCAGCAAGAAGGGTGTCCCGAATGGCACCAGCAGAAAGCCAGAGAAGTGCGGAAAACGTAGCAGCAAGGCAGAAGCAGCAGGAGCAACAGCAAGCCTTGTGTTAAACCAGCTCGATGACCTACCTGAGACGGAGCTCTTTGCTACGAACGCCGCAACCCTAGAGGCAGCGCTGAATGCGGCAGGAGCCCTCGTGGAAGTGGCAGGCCCCGGAGGTGTCCTGTCGTGTCTTTCAGTTTTCACTGGACTGTTGCAAACTGTCCTCAAGTCAGTCATACATGTGTTCCTGCCTTCTTGCCGGCGTCCTGCTCAATTCGCTGAATCTGTTTTTGTCGTTATTTGTTATTTACTGGCCCTGCTTCTGTGATGTTTTTCCTTTTCGGCCCCGTCTTTTTTTCTGTGCTTTAGGGCACATGCCGGTGGTGTGGAAGTAGTGCGAGACCCTTTGCCATAATCCTTCTATGCAAATGCATGCATCACTTAAATTTTTTGCCGTTTTATCTTGCCTCTTCCTGCATTTTCAGCCTGCCATCTCCCCTTCATCACAGCATGTTCGCTGCTCGCTTTGGCTCCTGCCTTCTCTCCTTCATTCGCTGTCTCCTGCGGGGGATCCCTGCTGCATCACCCGCAGTTCATCGTCTCTGCTCCCTCCACGCAGTGGCAGTTTGTCGAAACCTGTTATCACGCACACACTGGAGGCATGCATGTCACGTGGCTAGGCATCTAGCCATTGCGGAGGACGGAGAATCTCTTGCCTTGCTGCATGAGCAGGGTCTTATGACCAAACCACACAGAAACAAGCAGACAAATGGCAGTAAGACGACATATCCAACCAACCAATATACCTTGCTGTATTTGCACATCTGTAAGAGCAGAAACACGAGCAACTGCAATCGTGAATGTAGTTGCAAACCCCCAAAATAGTGATTTGCGGCCTACGATTTCCACAGAGAGCTGTAGTGGGAGTCTTGGTTCTACGGCTGCCGATGAAGCCCTTTGGGGCCTACACGCTACGGAAAGCGAGGGGCTTTTGCTGCTAGCACATGCATGGCGGAGTACCTGCGGGCTTATTGAAGAGCTGCTTTATGCAGGGAGCCTCTCTGTCTTAGGGTTGTCTACGGTTCAGCTTGAGGCCTTTGCGGATGCTCTTGTCTTAGGAGTCCTCACGACGTAGGGCAAGGAAGCAACAGGCTTCGCATTGCTATCTTTTGTGTGCTGTCGTTGTCGTGTATCTTTGATATTGCGTCGCGCCGTGGCAGTGTTATCTCAGGTCCTTTGTGCTGCTTTCTTGTGTGCTTGCTAGCGGTGCGGGTAGTGCTCAGCGAGCTACGAGAAATTTCTGTGTGTTTTGCTGCTGACCTTGCATTTGATGCATATCCACGCACGCAGAATATGAGTGTTTGCCATGACTTATTTCGTTCTAATTTGCGTGTGTTGGGTGCTCCTAGAGGCCTCTCCTGTGGACCTGGGAAGGGAGAACCACATCACTTTGCACGCTTTGTTGTCTCGGACCCGTGTTCACTTATTTCGGCCCTCCATCTGCTTACTGCCTCCATCAGTAAGGACCCTTCGACTCACATTGAGTACACGGCACCATGCTCAGTATCATATTCAGAGGTATTTTGCGTCTGGGGGTGCCAGCACTGCGTGCATTTTGGTGCTCCATACTGTTCCAATGGAAAAGAAAACATCAAGGAAACAGGGCGACTGAAGGCGTTTGATTCACATTTTTAGCGTCCTCGGATCGGATAAGGCAGCCATAGGGTAGAAGGCATAGCCCATAACAGTAGCTCACGAGCGAATTTCGGATCTTCGCATACATATGTCGTACATATATCAGTTGCTGCTTGTTTTGCCTGTCTTCGTTGTGGACTCCGTAAGCAAAGGCCATCTCGGTCGAGGGGACTCTCGGCCAGAATAGTGCAGTGTGGCGGCAAGAAGCGTTTGCCTTCAGTGCGGTCTAAAGTTCAGCACTTGTATTATATTGTGAATTTCCCGTGCAGGAGACGTTCTGCGGTGTGTCTTCGTTGCTGCAGACGTATGTTTCCCTCCCCCCTCCACTCTGCGGGCCGCGAGCTCTCTGCTGCGGAGGTTGCAGGCGATTTGCTGCAGCGGACCCTTCGGCGCAGCACAGCCACTGGGATTTATGCAGTTTCAAGTGGATAACGAAAGTACCAGCCGAAGTATGGATGCGCTTCAACAGCAATCAACAGCCGCTTTGGGGACAGTCTCCCCAGGGGCTGTCGAGACGGCCCTGACGAATCTTGACTTTGCCATACGAAATGCAGCATGCGGTCAGACAAGGCGCCGCACATGGCTGTACTTGCCTCCCTCAGGCTAGCTATAGCTACAGTCTCTGATATGCCTATAGCTGAGGGGACAGGGCTCGGTTTCCTCTGTGTTACTGCCCTCATGAGCTTGTGCATGCATCTGTTCTTATTGGATGTGTAGGACGTGGTGCAGAAGGCGCGGCAGCACTGGGACAAGCTTCTGTGGAGGGCGGGGAAGGAGTGGCTTCGCGGTTTCTGCTTCGGCCAGAACAGCTGCGTACACACCATGACACCCTTACGGGGTCTAGCAGAGCGAATGCAGCCGTGTATGCTGCGTGCGAGTTGAATTTTTTGAGCCTAGCGTCACAAACGAGTTACCAGGAGGGCGCGTGCCCCCACCACAAACCAAAACCCAGTGACAATTCCCAGCCCCAAGAGGGCAGCTGCAGCTCCAAACCCGCGAGGCTACAGACTGTTAAGGCTCCAGCGTTGTCTCCGCTCCTTGAGGGGAGCAGCAGAGGAACTGACAGTGAGAACCGCCAATCGTTGGAGGCTCGGTCTGCCACTCCCAGCAAAGCCGAAGCGCATGCATTCCTGTCCACCACTGGAGCAGAACCGAGATATCATGCGGGACAGACAACGAATTCGACCAGAAATGTAGGCTCCCCCGCTCAAACGCAACTGTGTACCGCCTCTGGATCGGAGGTAGGTGATGGTACATATCCAGCCACAGTAGCGTCAACTGCAGCTGCTGCTACAGCAGCAGCTGCTGCAGAGGGAGCACTAGAAAAAGTCAGGCAGCATGCGAAAAGGCAGAGATGCGAATTCGCATCAGCGTCTAGCCAAAGTGGGACCCCTTCCTCAGGATGGGAGAATGCAGAGAAAGGTCACAAGTCTGACGACGAGGTGGTGATACTTGAAGGCGCTGCCTCTCCCTCTGTCTCTCGGCGTTCCAAGAAGGCAGTGCCAAGTGCTGGAGCTGTACTGGCGGAAGGTGGAGCCGTGGGCGCCAGCGGGCATCTTCTTTTCTCTCCGCAACAGTGCCCTCCCGCGCCACGCCAGCAACAGCAGTCGCGCACACAGCAGCAGCAGCTGCATCAAACGAAGGAGATGGCAGTTGAAGAAAGATCCGTAGAGCTTGCTGCCGAAGCACAGGCGAGAGGGCGCATACGCCAGTTGTTGCATTGTAGGTCTTTGGGATCCCCCTAACGCATAGATGGATGTGACATACTTCACGCCAAGCTGACCAGGAGTTCGACTCCAAGCCACACAAATTAACACCTTAGTTTCGTGGCCTTGTCCTGTGTTTTCTTCTCAAATATTACTAGCTCAGAGAGAGACACAATGTTCCACGTAATTCCTCAGCGAGCAGCTGAATGCTGTGTAGGCTGATGTTAAGGCTGCAGTTAAGGTCTCGTGCCCTGTTGTATGTGACACTGCGCGGTATTCTGCGTCACTGCGTACTGCAGCGGACTTCGAGCTCTCGGACTGAAGGGGCTGTCCCCTCCCCGCCCTGCTATCCTCCATAACGTTTCAGCGCTGCGGTGGAGAGCAGATGCGCTGCAGACAGTGCCATGTACGACAGTGCCTATCCAACAAATGCGCCAATAGTCATGCATACATTTGCATGCTAATTTGCACTTACATGCACTTCAGTCTGCCTACTTGCATGTTTCTATCCCTTTGGCATGATCGTTTGTCTCTTGACAAAGCGCTTCGAGTTTTGGAGCTCAAAGAACCAACGAGAAATCGTTATACAAAAGGAAAATACACTGCCATCGTTGTTACGAACAGCACAGCGCGCAAAGGTTGGAGTAGCAGGGCGCCGGGTGAAGACGAGTCTCACGCATCAATACCTGTATTTCTCCTTACTTGCTTCGACTTTGGGCCATGGATGAGCTGTTCGGGGCTTCGCACAATATATGGGGAAGCTCAACAAAGGAGACAGACGAAATAGACGGCAACCAAGTGCTTTATTCTGGAGCCTACCCTCCGATGCTGGTTCTGCTGCGTAAGAAGCACGTCAAGTGGCCACGCGATGCTTCGAAGCTCGGGCTTTAAGGTCCTATCACTATGCCGGGACAGTTGCTGCCCTCAGTCTGTGCGGAAGCCACTGTGCGCGTCGTCGTTGATCCGAGCAGCACAGGCACATTGTCGCTGTCTTCTCCCCACTTCACTGCCAATAAGCAATGAAAAACTGAAATTCACGCAGTGAGTTTATAGGGACTGAGCATAGGCGGAGCCATGGCTGGAGCGATGAGACCTGATGACAGGATATGCAGAAAGTGGCAATCTCGAAGTGACGTCACCGCGGGGAATTTGGAATAGCATCTGGTGCTTCCACTTCTACATCTTTTTCGCTGGGATACAAGGGCGTAAACAGCGGAAACCTTGGTGCGACTGCTTTTCAGTTCACGCTCGAATTACCCTGCCTGGCTCCTTAAAGCCCTGCCTATGAGGGGTCTGTCTTCGTCTTGGTCGCCAGACCTGTGAAAAGCAGTAACGACGCCTACAAATTAACGCTTTAAGCTTGCATTGTGTGCACATGTATTCTTGTGGAGGCGGGCTACCAAAATCAAGTGGCCAAGGTTATGCATATGCAAATAGACGAGCTCGGCAGCACGAGCATACACAGCTTAGCAGATTCCGTTCAAGCAACGCCTAGCTGAACATACGGTTGAACTTGTACTTGAAAGTGCTGCTATCCCATATTTGACTACTTCCTTATTGCGTATGATGTGGCTATAAAGCGAGCCAGGCGGGTAGACGTCTCACGTCGATAAAGATGAGCTCGTCTTGTGTCCCACGTCATTTTGCTTTTCCCTGAACGCCAGCCACCATTCCAATTGCTGTACTGCAGAAACCTATTCCCCGCTTCATTATCTTTCGAGGGGCTTCACACGCATCTGCTTATACACATGTGCATCCCTGCCAGCTCGGTGCAACGCGAAGAATCTGCCCTTGGTGGACAGCGCTATTCCCTTCTAGCCCAAACACGAGAACCCGGGTTTCCCTCTCCTCCTCGTGAGATGTGAGATGTGGAACAAGCACTCTAGTCATGAGGACGATAAGAATTTATACGTTTAGGCCATAGTAGCTCACCGTTGTGTGGCGCAAGCTCCCAAAGTGAGCGTAAAGATGGCAAAGAGGAGGGTCAGCAATGCACAGACTCCTAGAACGATCCAAAGAATGTTTAAATGCCCAATCTGGTCCGCTATGCTTCTCGAGTCTTCTAGAACGCCACTCTGTGTATGCAAAAACATTCACGGCGACAGGCAAGTGCACATCTCATTTGCGTACGAACGGGCCAAACACGTTAAGCGCGAACTTCGCTACACATTTTCAGTTGAAACAGTGCAGAAATTACAAGAGCATCAATATGAATGCACTGATACAGAAGGAAAGGTATCAATCGATTGCTTGGAGATGATCACTGAAGGGTGCTTTGCGCTCACACCCGACTCAAGGGAAAGAATCGTCGGCATTTCGCTACATTCCAAGTGGCCACCGTTTTCTATAGTCTGCAAACGAGTAGAAGGGCCACTTAAGGCAAAGTGAATCAGTCCTGAGTGCCACCTCGCGAACCAACTGGCGGCTCCCCCATAGGACAAACTGTTGCATTAGGGTAATCTGCCGAGATACTCCAGCTCCGTCTGGGAAACTCAACAGAAAAAGAATGGGAGAGAGAGAAAGCTGGGAAATTTAGCTATGCAAAGCACAGTATTGGCAGTGACGGCTGGCACCCTTATGCCCGTTGGAGCTCATGCAGTTGCATGCCTAAAAGTAAACTGAAAATCAACTTTAAAATTTCGGAGATTCACTGTTTGTTTTTCCACAATAGAATGCCGGCAAATAACCTTGTACGCAGCCGCCGCTCCTAGCAGCTGTTGTCAGCTGTCAAGCCGATGGTTGCCAGCAGAGAGCCTCGAAAACTGCCTATGCATTGGCAAGTAAATCTATAGCCAATGCAACCAGCAATATATTTCTTCATTAGCCAAAGGAAAAGAGGAAAAACCGAGAATAAAGGTGAACAAAACCGAAAACACGAAAAGCTAGGACCAGCTTCCCAGACGGAGTCGTCGATGTGGACCATACCAGTGCGTGCTGCATGCGGTGAGTGCTGCTGACCCACTGAGTTTTCTTGGCCAGTATAAATATTTAGTGTTGTTTATCTATGTTAAACTTATTTTTACGGACTCAACAACCTTCATTCTGTGTTTTGCTGGCGGGCTCACCGCAGCCATGCACAAGCGTACGCATCCTAGCCCACAGCTACACTTTTTAATGCTGCGCCACGATAGAGGCTTCGTTGCATTTATGATATGCAGCCTTCAAATAGAGGCGCAACCACTGCTGGTGAGATATGCCACGGAGCTACTTGACTTAGAAGCCAATGCGCTTCAGCACACTTCGCTCTTATAAGTAGCACAGTAGTGGATTTCGTCGGGATCTAAGTGGTGGACTCATTGAAAGTCTCCTCAATTGAAATATCACAAGAATGCCATGCTGATTTAACGTGTGCTTCAAGCCTGAAGAGGGCTATGCTGATTCAACGTGTAATTCAAGCCTCAAGAGGGCTGTGTGAAAATGACAAACTGAATTGAATTGAGCAAGCCAGTTCCTGGCAAGTAAGAGACTCCAGCTTCTGAGAAAGTGCGATTTTGATACTACAGCTATATATAAACTCCCCATGATTCTATACACATCTATATGGCGCAGGTCAAACGTAGGGAGAATGTATTCGCTGAAAAATGCGGGCCATAACGTCTCTAGTCAGTGGTGCTCCAGTATGATGCCGTAGAGGTGCATTACAGTCTGTGCGATCTGTTCCCACCAAAGCATGGTTGACAGTTGATATCTGTAGTGTGGATATTCACCGTGCTTAATTCCCCAACGCAGCAACAGAACGCCCTGTAGCGGCCTGCAGGTAGTGGGCACAAAACGCTTCCGGATTGTGGTTATTATGGAGAACGCCTTCAGCACCCCGCAACTGTTGCCTCCAGTTTGTGCACATGATACACTGTTCCATGGAGCAGTTTCTCCAGGGCATTGGCCTGCTAAAAATCTTTGGGCTACAGTTTAGTGCCGCATGTCCTCCCGTCATTGTTGCACTGTTGGCTCGCCTTGCCTGTGCCGTGCTTGTATGGTACTCGCAATAGAGCATGGGCTTGCACTCAAAGCCTGAAGCAGTGTTTTCCTAGCAATTATGGCGCACTTCAGACACTCTCAAGTCTTGCCATCCTATTTAACTGTTCCTTGTTTGTCGGGTTTGAGGGCAGATTAAGGCCTGACTTACGTACTGCCTTACTGCCTGATCTACCATACGCCCAGATTACTGGACCTTCCTAAACTCCATTGTCCTTCCCCAATCCCATATGCTTTTTGTTTGATGCGTTGATGCAGTCAGTAGAAACGAAAAATTTTCCTTTGAATATTGTCGACGTATTCCATGAAACGTGAGCTGTACTTTTCGTAATTGTCGCACCGCTGCCGCCGCCGAACAGTGCCGAAGACACTCGCTCTTGCCTGGCCAAGCTAGCTTCAAGCGAATCCACGTAGGAAACCCTAAATTAACCGCAAACTGTGCCCTTCTCCCGCTTCCTTCCGAATATTCTTCAGGAAAATCATGGTGTTCAGAAGCACATTCATAGTGAGCTAAGTGCAGCTTCGCTTCTGCTCGTCCCTCTCTTTCTGGCTACATAGGTTCATACCTATCAGCACTCACTGAAGAAGTCCTGTAAGCACTAAAATGATCCAAACGCCATCAGTTTGGGTTTCACTCCAGGAATATCTCTGTTTGTGTCCGATGCTTTTCTGTCGTTACGTGGGCCTGCTACGAGCCCCAAGCTCTGCCCGGAGCTCCGGGCCTCACTGGAGAGCAAACTGGGCCTGACCACTGGAGGACCACCCTCTTTTGCAGGATAAGTACTTCAAATTACTACGCTAGTCTATGCATTATAAATTATAAGAGTTTGAATACCGTTTCTGGGCAAAGTTGTACTGTTGCGCACTGCAACACTGACGCCTCAAAGTGTGGTTGTTGATGGTCAAAGCGTTGAATGCCCTAACACCTACCTCTGGAGACCTTACACGCAATATTATGACTGTATTACACCTGTTGGAAGAAAATTTATATTTTCTAGGTTGTGAAAGATTGCTCTCCGCCGTTTCAGGGACAATGACAGTGCCCGTCAGTCTTGCAGGAGCCGTAACTGCAGTTCAACCAACGCCACCATGTAATCTCATGCCTTAATTCTACAAAGTGTCACTGCATACATCGATAATGTAGGGAATTGTCGCTCTGCCTAGCCAGAATATGGACCAGCAGCACGGTTTCGGAGCGACGGTAACATAGGCAGCCACAGCCGGTGCAGCAGCGGCTGCCACTGCAAATGCACCATCGAAAGCCACTGCAGAGGTAGCACCTACGTAGTTCGCCACTTTGGGACGTGTCACCTTCGGGAATCACGGGACGTCTGCTTCAGTATTACGGTCAGACGTCGCGTCAACGTTTCATAGGAGAGAGCATGTGGAGCATTAGCATCAGTAACCGATGTTGCACATGAGTTTCGAAAATATGTGAAGCACCAGATGCCTCATTGGCGCTACACAGGAAAGCACATTTGGAGCAACACCAACAGAAACCGTTACAACAATTGCGTAACAACGATCTACTAAGCAGAAAGGGAAAAAAGGCAGAAAAATAAATTTCATTCCTCGCAAGAGTGCATCTGCGTGATAAAGAGGCCGGGAAGTAGTAGTTCCAGGCACACCAAATCCAAAAGCTGGCATACAAACTGGAATAAAGTACTTTAAACAGGTCTGAGCTATGAGTGCAAGATAATTCGTAGAAGCTAGGAGTTTTGAGAGTGGAACCTTCCCTAGCACCCTTTTGCAAATCCGGCAGTTGGGGACAGCAGCAAAGTAGGAACGGCACTTCGCGGTGATGCTTCGTTGTGCAAATCATGGGCATCGTGAACAGCCACCTCTATTTAATATACAAACAAAACGTCCGGGTTTCTAAATTCAAGTATTTGCATGTATTTTAGTTATTGCAGTAGTCTTGCAGGATATTATCACTTTACATTATATGGAGTGCAACGGGGGAAAACGCAAACGCCAAGCCGGGCAGGGACCTTCCCGTTAGCTTTGTGTACGCTGGAAGGCCTGGTAAGAGAACAGTGTAATATGCTGTCAGAGCGCATGGTTTTCTGTCCTTGTGTGGACTGCTTCGAGACTAAGGGCAATCTAACGTGCATGTCTCTTTGCGAGCAAAAGGTTAATCGATGCAATTGGCGCCGAGATGATTTCAGTGGAAGGGAAAATCCTTACATTTTCTTCATGGGGAAACAAAAGTGAGGTGAGGAAAACTCAAATCCCAGAGAGGTAGGTGAAAGTTTCTGAAATGAAAGAAAACGTCGCAGGACCTTCTGAAAAGCCAGGCTCGTCGAGTTTTACAGAAACAAAAGCGAGCAAGACCGTCATATTATAGAAGCAAGCTTGCTGTTTGTTTCAGAAATAAGTGACACGGCTGGGGGTAGCGTAATGCAAGGGGGCCAGCGTCTTGTGTGCGTGATCGCAAGAACATAATAATCCACACTCTGTTCTAACGCCGTTAAAATATTTATATTTCACCAGCAATACAAAGTTACCTTCTGCATGCTTACCGTACTCAACTTATCCCATACTTCTGTAGGTGCAAGCCGGTAGAATAGTGAGTAAAAGCAGTACTGCAAAACTCAGGCCTTAAGAAGTGCTAGCAGTGCTAGCACACGATCATGACGGTCATGGGTGAACTATAGCTCAGCTAAATACGGGGCAGAGAATGCAAATGGCAGAGTCATGGGCATGCTAATGGAAAGTATGGTGTGCTATACACCGATCTGAAGGCATGAAATGCTGTATGGCTTCTTGATGGAATAACGGTAGACGACAGCAAGCTGTACTGCAGAAATAAAGACGAGACTCGGAGAAATCACTGTTCCCTCATTTGATTGTAGCACCCAGGAAACCTCAAGTGCGTGATTTCCGTGTAGTCAGTGTTGTACCGTAATTCTTTCATGAAGCACATCACTGTTTCCTTTCCTGCGACTTCCCATACGGTTTAGCCACACCACTGGAGGGAAGTGGGGGAGCCATGATCGGTTTTCTGAGGATGCGCTTCCGTTGTGTTGTCTCGTTTTTGTCTACCGCCTTCCCTGACTGTTTTGCTTTCATTTGCTAGACAATTTAAGATTTCATGCCTCCACTTCGACTTGTGGTGCGAGACCTACACCGCAACAGGACCAAACTTACCTCATTGTGAGCTCTGTAGGCTTGCAGTCAGTTGGCTTCATTTTTAGGCATAATTTTGACTTCATAATTACTAGAAAAGCAATAGGGAGATAGATGGATCACAAAAAAAGCCTCGAATCCTATGCATTGTATCCCAAACCAGAAGTGCATCGAAAAAAATAAATCAGGAAAAGTTATAGAGACTCCCTCAGCTCAGAGAAGAAAAGGACCAGCACGATGCTCCCCAACAATTTGCAAAATTCCGGCTGTCTGTGCATTCGCATGCAACAACTGAGTTTCAACCCTTGACGAGTCCAGCTTCCTGTATTAGAGTATGATTATTATTGATCAAACCAAGTTACGCACGCAGTTTTCTAGAAACCCTCAAAGAGAAGGTTACAGCTATGCAAAGTTTCCTCTTCGTCTCAAACTTCGCACGTGACAAGAGTATTTGATTAGCCTGGAACCACAAATTTTTCATCCTCTTCATATGGGCACCTAAGAGAGGATGAGCATTGGTCTGAGTCAGAGGAAACCCATCAACTGTTGGAACTCGATTTCATCTTCAAGAGAAGACGTGATGTCTTCAGCACCGAAACTGTTTTTTGAGCTTTTAGCACTAGTTTTACCAATGTACATTCTCACTTGCGAGCAGAATCCTGCAATACAAGACTCAAAAAGAAGCAGCGTCCTTGCTAGCGCACACAGTGTCTGCCCCGATAATTTTCTATCGTTGCGCCGCAGCGTAATTCTTGGCGCAGAGCAGTGGCCAATATTAAACTTGATTGCTGATTTACAACGTTGAAAGAGATCCTTTTATTCTTGTTTGTTCGTACGCGCGTATCTAGGACAGAGTAGGGGCTTCGACTCGGCTGGAGGCCTCTGCGTGGCTTGTGTTGTTCTGGGGTGATTACCTCCGTTTACCTGCTTTTAGATGAGCATATTTTGGTCAATTCGTGGGTTTCTTTCATCTGGATTCTGCGCAGAGTATTCTAAACCTGTTTCCACTGTCGCTGCGGTAACCGAAGTATCGCCTTGCACCCCTCGTCTCGCCAAGTGGTAGAATCCAAAAAGAGGAAAAACTGTTATCACAGCACCACAATGCAGTTTGCATATTTGGCTCATCTCTTTCTGCTCTTGTTTTTTGCGGGTGCCTCTAGCCAGCCTGCGGTAACTGCTGCGGCGATCCCCTCGCATCCGTCACAGACCGCAACTCTCCTCCTTGATGTTCCTGAGACCAATGGAGAAGGACACTTCACTAGTGATCAAAAGGTTAATTCTCCGAAATCCGAAGGTGTCGATGCGAAAGAAGGGAGAGGGATCACTGTGCGCGCCCAAGGACACACTAGTGGCCCATATGAAGGAGATGCCGTTTTAACAAACCAAGTTGGTGTTGAGGGCCATGGTGTGCACGGTTTGGATAGAGTCTCGGGTGAAGTGATGAGTCATGACGCTTCTATGCCTATTTATGCTTCAAGTCCCGACAAAGTGAGGGGACTGCGAACGGCAGTGACGGCTCTGCTTTTTATTGGAGGCTATTTACTAGCCCATATCCTCGCCACTCCTGGAAAATCATTTTCCAATGTGCTAGAAGTGAAATCGTTGTTGACTTATGAGAATCGATATCTGGCCAGTGCTGCAGCCTCTGCTGGGATGCTTCTTTCCGGGCTCGGAGAGATTTTACAACATATGCTCTTTGGCAGGCCTCTACACGGACACCGCTCACGCCCACAGACGCACAGGCTAAAGAGGAGAAGAGGGCTGCCTCAAATGTTCGTGGCAACTATTTTATACGTTATGTGTATTGGGGCTGCTGTTGAGCTGGGCCCACTTGCCCCAGTCTCACTAGTGTACCTGCAGACTCTCAGCTTAGTTGCTGCGGGCCTGTTTTATTGGGGTGCGGCCCTTTACTTCGACCCCTTCGGCCTGAGCAGCAGTTAGAAGAAGAGAAGAAGAGTGTGGGGGACGCAGAGGAAACAGAAGGAGAATCATTTGTGTGTATATGCGTGTGTGTATGTGCGTGTGTGTGAGAGAGGGGCTAAAATACCTGTGCTGCGCTTCATGTTGCCGGGGACTTTGTACAGAACGTTTCCCGCATGTTATTGAGTCCCAATAAAAAGGCCTTTTTGGTTCATGCAAGCGTACGCCCATATGAGCATATATGTTGATACATATGTTTATATTTATGCATTGGGCGTACATGCTATTCGCCTGTATATTTTCAGGATGTGTATTGATGTTTCACGCATATTGGCATGCAATTCTTTTATGGGAAAGCGTTGAAAAATGGAGAGCAATCCGTGTGCACCCAACAAAGTTCGTAGTTTCAAGTTATTTATGCAAAGTGGACCAAGCCAATTAGAACCCGCGGGACCACAAATTGAAGAGATGATGCTCTTCAGAAGTTGTTTGTGTAAAGACACATCAAGTTTTTAGATCCTTCGTTTGGTGATGAATATCTGGTCACTAAATGAGACCGGTGAACACCATTAAACAGAAACGAAACGATTTTTAATAGGTAAAGGAAATTAAGGCCTCACGGCAAAAGTCCTGTGAGGGAGAGCACCAACTTTGTTTCAGAGTGCTGAACGTCTTTTCTTGTGGAACTGTTTTGCTTCCTCTAATGCCAAGCGCGTAGCTTTTTGTATTTGTGTAGCTGCTGTTGCTTATCCGGTTTTTGCCGGAGCTTCTTTGAGGAGTGGCTAGTTGCAGCACTTCAGGTATTTGCGGGAAGACCAAATTTACAGTTGTCTTCTTGACACAGAATAATGTGTACTACAAAGGAGGCTTTGATGCGGGCTCCAGCAGGGTAGATAGTAATTTTGTAGACTTCAGCAGCAGCTGCTCTCAGCCGCAGCAAGGCACACACAAGTGCGTTGACCGGCGAAGACTTTTCGCTGGTGGCGGCTCAGAGCAACACTCTTCCCGCAAGCCACAGGTGGCGCCAATGTGGTTACATGAAGCAACAGGAACTGCGCAACTGGCCGCCTCTGCGCTCGTGCATGTCACCTTGGAAGACCCATTCATTAGTGCGCATGCATACTCAGTAGCGTACGACCGAGGGGAACAGTGTAGAAGGGTTTTCACAAACAAAGAACAGCAGCTACAAGAAGTCACAGCCGGGCGGGAATGCAACGCAAAACTCTTGGTGAATTTAGTCAGACAAAATGTTAAGGTACACGCCGACAAACAGACAAAGTGTGATGCGCTAGATACAGTATCATAACGCTAGATAAGAGCCACACATCGAGAAGCAAAGCTACGAAGACCACAGCACTTTCCAAAGGCACGTCGTTCTCACGTGCGGGAGCGTCAACAGGGTGCTCTCCATGCTAATATTCCCAGTTTATCTGCAAGTTGCAGCGCCTGCCTCTTTTGCTTTTTGCATGACACTCCCGTCTTATGTAGTGACGACAAAATTTCCGCTGGTTGCACGTCAGAGAAACGACCTCTCTCTGATTTACCTATGCCACCCCTTCGGTATTGTGGGGGCCAGGATCTTGACAGCTTGCCTGGTGCCTAAAGTTCCAAAGAATTAATGGGAGTAAGAGCCGGGTACGCCCAGTTGAAGTAACGAGAGACCAGCCAAATCATGGTACAGAGGCGTATTCCTTGCGAGCAAACAGGAAGACTAACTGTCTTCATGTCATCAGACTGGATCGTTTCGCCTGGAGCTGCGATAAAACGCGGAAGCAAAAGGCGACAGTGAAAGCAACATGCTCACATTGTAATTTGAAGTAAACTCCGTCACATGAAGATTGTGTAGCCTCTCCACGGAGGCAAACCAAATGTGGCAGTGCAGTGTGTGGCAGTGCTGGCAAGACAAAAAGGAAGAGCTTGTGTTCGCCTTCTCCCTGCTAAGAAGCGCGGCGTCCTTCGGTTTCTCTCCGCTGTGGCCATCAATGGTGAACCGCCTTTTCAGTCACTAGGGGGAAATCACTTGTGCGAAAGAAAAGTGACAGACCTCTCAGGCCAACAGCATATGTTCCCGCAGTAGGTGAAGCCAGCTGTTGCAGCACCCCGTGTTCTAGTTTCTAACTACGCTCCTTTGAACTGTGCGTGACCGTGTTTGATAGCTCAAACGAACGCGTAGCAAGGAAATACTCTCAGCAACCAACTACGCTCATGAGCCTTTGTGGAAGACAGTATCAAATGCAGGTGCCACAGCAGCGGCGACTACAACTGTAGACAGTAAACGTCATAGCGGCAGCAGAGACAACAGCAAACTGCATCCGCGGAAACATTTGTAATCCTAACGGTACCACGTTTGTAATTCTAAAAGCATCATGTTAAAGGAGCCTTCGTCTGCATGGTCATGTCCACGAAAATAAAACATTAAAAAACTTGACGAAGATTTAACTGTCGCTGCTGGGTAAGATAATGACCTCTCTTTGGGGCCACTCAACACTTCTTGGATCTTGTGGGGCAGTAAAGCTCACTGTGTTCCAGCTCAGTGCACCACTACAAATGCGCAGCACTATACAACGGGGACATGCAAATAATACTTCAAATATAGCATCATGCACAGAAAACCACTACAAATGGGCCTCCCAATTTTGCACTATACAAAAGGAAGCATCGCACGTTATTTCAAATTCCTCACCCCACAACAGAACATACTGGAGCAAATAGAGACTTCGTCCCCTTCAGTCCTTTTGTGGACAGACAGACGCCCAAAGAAAGACGCTCAATAATCCATTAGGGACAGTGGGGCACAATGTCGATGGGGGAAGGACAAATAAGTGCAAACGCAAACATACGTTAGTGAAGGCATAAGGATCAAGCGATTAAAAGACAGACACCAAACACAGCAGCACAGAGAATACGGGGACACGCGAACGCATGGCCATATGAGAAAGCTGCCGTTGGGGAATTCACAGTAGAGCAATTGCCGCCTGAAGTAGTTGCGCATCAACATCGTGTGCTCCAGGTGGTGTCCGTCTCAACTTCTCCTGTGCGAGGCTCAAGGCTGACATTTTGTAGTTCCGCGCGTTGGCTCTGCCGTCTTCTTCATTATTTTTCATATCGCTGAAAAGCTCCCAGACCTGACTGTCTTTCCAGTTCGCTTCTAGTTCCTTTAAATACTGGATATCGTGGTGAGGAGCTTCTCTCATATCATTTACAGATTTGGAAAAAACGCGCAGAAAGTCACCTACTACCCCCAGGATTCCAAATTCGTCATACAATATTTGAGCCCTCTCTAACACGTCCTGTGAGCACCCGTAAGTGCTCAGGAACTCCTGCCACACTGCCGCCTCGGGATTAACAGACTTCGGCCCCACACTGGACCGAGCTAGCATATGGCCAACTGTTGTTTCGAAGTAATCTAGCATCTTGAAGGGGACCTCCCGGTCATCCAAAAACTGTATGACAGTACCGCCAAGAAAGCTAGCTAGTTTATTAGCCGCATTTTTGGCGACATATTTTTGCTGGTTTGTCTTCTCCCGCTCGTCTTCTAATGCTTCGGCAATCAGTGTAATCTCGTTAAGGCCGCCTACATAATTGCTGAGACGTTTTAAGAAAAACGAGAATTTTACAGGCGTTGAGTCCAAATCTTCAACGGATGCCGCTGCAGTATTCCGAGAGCCTGCAGTGCCAGAAGGCTCCAAGGCAGGATCCACACTTGCAGCTCCGGAAAAGGCTCGTCTTCGCTCCTCCAGATCCATAATACGAGTTGTAGCCGCTTCTAGCAGCGACAGCATGAGAGCTTCCCTTACCGTATGCACTGCTTGCTCGTGGGGCTCCGCATTCTCTCCTGGTGCCACTGAACGTACTAAGTCTACGAGGTGGTTGATGTATGACGCAATGTCCCTCTCTTGCGAGGTCCTGAGAGGCTCGTACGTGTACTGTTCAACAAAAGCACGCTCCACAGACGGACTTATACTTTCGACAAATTTATTAAAGGCCATCACCGGCGTCAACGGACTCTCCTGCAAGCCGAGATCTGGCTGGTTTCTCTCTCCTGCCTCTTCAACACCAGAATTTCCACCATCAGTATCAAGCATTGCATCATCTGCTCGGGAAACAACGTCAGGGACAACGGAGACCTCCACTGCAAGCTCTTCTCCCTTGGAAGATAAGTCCAAAGAAGACGCTTCCGAACTTTTTGCACCCCATAACGTTTCCCCAGTCCTAGCCTCTCCCCCATCGGTTGTACTGTGTTGAAAATAGTATTCAGGCGGTAGAGGGCTCTTCACTGAAGCCGGAGAAGACGTCTCCTGCTGCTGGGCATCAGACGGCTCCAGTTGCTCTTGAGCTGGCTCGGGCTCCTGTTCTTGTGGGCTCTGGAAATCTGGCGGTTGCTCCTCCGTCAACGACTGAAGCGACTCAGCATTAGCCTCGTTTTCACCAAGCTGCTGGCTTTCCTGTGGCTGCAGAGGATCAAGCTCTTTCTCGTGGTCCTGAACCTGCGAAGACTCAGGCTGCTGCTCGTCTTCCTCAGGCTGTCCTGGGTCCTGCTCTTGCAATGGTGCACTGATTTCCTCTTGCTCTTTAACCTCCTGAGCTTCCAAAGGCTCAAGATGTTGCTGGTAATCCTGGAACTGCTGAAGCTCTTGAGCTTGCAGGGGACGCTCCAGTTCGTCTGATGCACCGTTTTCGATAGAGAGGTCCCGGTTTGGCGTGTTCGCCCCTCCAAGAAATTTAGGCTCCTTGCGCCAGAATTTCCCCTTTAACCTCGGTGTGCCGCCAATCCATCCAGAAGACACGAGAAGAAACCCAGCGATGAAGCTTGCAAGGGCAGCCACAGCGAAAATTCGCCGAGATTTTCCGGGATGCCCATTTCCACGGTCAGCCGAGGGGCTCGAGCCGCTTCTCCACACGTGGCCATAATCTGACTCGGAATTCTTCTGCCTGGGAGCCTCATCAAAGTCTTTTCTTGGGGTTTGGGGCCTCGCCTCTGTCATTTTCGGGCTGTCCGACGTGGGCGCAGGGCCAGGGAGAGCACTCGGTCTGTAATGCTTTCCACTCATTGCATTTTAACTATATTGTTCAGACGTATGGGCAATGCATGGCGAGTTGGAGCTGTGTCCACTGTCACACGTCAAACTGCAGAACTTCAGTTGACAGACAGAAGCAACGACAGGCAAAGGTCTACTTCGAATTTACGTGGTAAGGGAGGCATGCATTGTAGCTGACTACAAAATGCAAAACCATTGTATATATGAGCTGATGGAAGATAACGAAGTTGATGTATGGACGCTCTTAAGTGTAAACATAGAGGCTGCTTCTGGGGGGGAGAGCGGCTCAATACGAGCGATGCTTGAGGACTACAGGGTATGTACACCGTGAATATTTTCGGATGCTTTTATGCAAACCATGTTTATTAAAAAATCAGGCATTTTGTTTCACTCAATTGTGTAAGCTTCCGGGATTTTTAGTCACTAAGCGCCTCCGTTCGTTTCCGTCTTGCTTCGAACAATACTGTGAGGCGGGCACTTGCTTCGCTCCCGACATATCATGAAACTGTATTTATAGACGATTAATTACTTGCTTCCGTCATTTATTGTAGTAAAAGCGTGTAAAGCTTGCACCCTCTTGCTCAAAACCTCAAGTGCAGAACTAAATTGCAGAGTATTTCGTGACTCAACCCTATGGCGCCCGACGTAGCTTTCGCTGAATACAAATATTTTGGGATAGTAAGCTCATACAAACGGCAATTTTAAGGGAAAGCTGCATGAATTTTTATCCCAATATGGGAAGCAACTGGGCGATAGTGGCATTTCTTCTTTTCATTGGAAAATATATCTCCTTCCGTAAATGTGGAGCAGCTTTCCCTGAAGTTGAAATTTGACTTGTAAATCACACGCAATACAAGCATTAAGGCAAGCATAAAGAATTCCTCAGGTAACTGCTTCTGCTTCATCTATGTGCTGCCCAAGGTCCTAGGGTAGCGGCTCAGAAATCCATGGGTAGACAACAGTGCAAGCTAGTGGTGCTCGAGGAAGGATTGCTTCGAGAAGGACACTGCAGAAAATGCACGGATTCAGGCGGTTTAGGGCGATAAGCTCGTACTCACGAGATTTTGCAGCGGTAGCTGGACGAATTGCCATAAGAAGAACGTAAACCAACAGGCCATTGGTATTACTGAACTTCACTATTATGGCATATAGTCCATTAGCGTTGCTCATTCCTATGCGTACCGCCTTCCGCAGTTAGAAAGCTTGTTTCAGTTTGGGCTTCGTCTAGTTTAGCCGAAAATGCCATGTGCGCACGCTTGATTGATCTACAGTGCACTCCTACTCGAAATTCTCCCTGTGCAGTTTCCTCGGTTTGTTTCCGCTCGAGATTTGGGTAATCTTTTGTAAGAAATTAAGTACTTCGGGAACATAATCGAGGCGTAAAATGTCACGACCACTTACCTGTGGCCTTCAAGGCACCGGTAAGTGGCCGTGGTACCTTGAGCTACTATTGGTTTCACATGAGATGCATACCATAAAGATTCCAGGCATCTAAAGAACAACTCTATGCACGTCCGTCGAATGTCCAGTGATAGGAGTGACCTAATTGCTGTTTGCACAACCGCCTCAGAGGACAATTCTTCGTCTAGACAGTCACCACGCTACAAATTACAGTTTGCACCTCAGGGCAGGTGATCTGCTTATTTTTTGGTGCACATCCATCATACTTCAAACTGCATATGCCACTCGCATCGCTCTGATGTGCGCAACAAATGACTGCTTAATGCTGAAATATTGTAAAGAGTCGTTTGCGTCAGGCTTTCACTGCATCAAAATCTATTAAGCGGTTGTGACGCCGCCAGCGGCGCCCAACACCCGTAAAATCCCAATTTTGCTCATTCGCTTCGGCTGTCTCTGTGGACTTTTCCCCTACTGCTTGTGCATCGCCAGTATTTGACGTTACACCCAGTTTGTCTGCGCCTCTGCTGCCCACAGGCTTCCTAACGTGCTGTTGTCTAAGAATGCGCAGCAGTTTTTGCTCCACGTGCTGTTCACTCTCAGAACCTTTTGGAGTATCTACAAGAGTTGAGGTGCCGCGTTCTTCACTCTGCACCAAACCAGTTGAAACCCTCCGTGACGTGCCCGCAAAATCAAGATGCAAAAGGCGTTCATTTGTTTCACGCTGCAGCATCCGCAGAGTCACGTGTGCCTTCAGCACAGACTGAAGTCCTCCGGGTCTCCAAGGAGCGAAGTACGCATCGTGCCACTTGTAGTACAATCTGAACAAATACAAGCCAACAGACGCAGGGTGACAGCTCATGAAGCTCAACAGACGTGTTTTCATATAAGCTGGTGAGAGGGTTTCACAGAGCGAATAAACTATCAAAAATGAAGCAGCGGGCCGTTCTGGGTGTGAAACGTGCAACTTTTGCGTGTCCCTACGTGTGCACTGTACATCCTCACTAAAATAGTATATCCTAACGAAATCTGGGAAGACCTCAAAGAATCAAGAAAACATGAAACTTAACGTATGCAAAACATCTGCGTACTTGCGCGTAGCCCGCCTAAAGAGAGAACGAGGGACGAGTAGCTGTTCTTTTGTTTCGTCATCGAAAGCTTCTAACTCAACCCCTGCGGACTTCAGAAATTCTGCTCTTTGTGCTCGAACTCTCCTGGAGCACACAACACCTGCGTATTCAAGGATTTGCTGTTTCCTGCTATCCCACCTCTCTTTACGGCGTTGTAGTTGCTGTCTAAATCTGAGATACACCTCGTCTATTTCGTCCCACGACGTCCCATAGACGCCTAAATGTTTCCACAATTGCTCAAGGCGAATTTTGTTTACACGCAACTGTAGTTCGTTGATGCGCGCGGAGTGATTTGAAACGTCCTCCACACCATCTGATGGGGCATGTCGAACACTAGTTGCATCTTTGTCCACTTTCTCAGCATGCTTGGACCCTGAAACAGCTTGAACGGGCCCGACAGCGTCAGTTGATGTGCAAGTAAAGGGCTGAAGCCTGTGGTTGTGCAAAAGCGGATTTGGCCAAAGAACATTGGGCTCAGGGTACTGCAACCACCTTTCACCTGGGTCTGTCTGTGAAACCGCCTCTGAACACCACCTAGAACGCTCAGAATACACATTATCGCGGATATGTGTTGAGTGGTTACTTCCAAGCAATAGATTCACAACCTCCTTGACTTGGGAAGCCTCCAACGTTTCGGGGTCCACCGAGAAGGGGAAGGGATTTGGATTAGTGAAAACGAACTCGTGGAGAGCTGGCGGGCAATCGCTGAGATCACCAGCAGATACTTCGTCCAACAAAAAACTAGACGGAGCCTCAGTTGGACCCTCAGTGTCATTAGGATGCGCTGATTCTTGACTTGCAGCGTGTGTGCTGGATGCTGGCTCCCGCTGCTCCTCCACTGACTCGGCTCCAGCCTCATCCGTCACTTTCTCCTGGGTAGAAAAAAGCCTCATCCCTACCCCAGTACAGGAGGTTTCAGAAACATAGAGTCCTCTATTGAGAAGAAAAGACACCAGGTTGCATGCGACGAATGGGCTCCTCGGACTGTGCAACCGTGCAAATGAATTGCACAGGGGTGGGATCAACTGCCTCCTTAGTGATCCAACACGAATAGGGAGGCCTCCTATTCGCGTGCCCATGCTTACTGTTGGGGCTCAAGATCAAAAGGTGCAGACAAAGCATGTAAATAAGGCTCCTGGGCTCCGACTGAAGTCAACGTGGAGTAAGGCACAAGAGACTCGAAACTCGCATGGATCATGTAGCTGCGGCAGCTACACAATTACTGAGTTACTTCAAAAGTTTATTGCCGGGAAAGTATGAACTTGTAAAGACTGCAGCCCTTGCGTGACAGAGCAACGACAAGATTGGCGCTCGATGCACAGCAACGCGGTGCGCTCGAGTGCAAGATCAATCCAGATACTCTTAATAACTCCCAGATTACTTAATGCCGTGCTCTGCATTGAGAGTTAAAGGCATTTTGTTGGTAGCGGCCAAAATGACTTCGGCTTCTTTGGATGAGCGCCCGTTATGTCACATGCATGCTGCGCGTGGAGTGAGGTTTCGCTAGTAATGAGAGGAAACCCTCCCTTGAACATGTCTCAATAAAGATTAATAATCTACAACGCAGGAATGCTTGGGGGCGCTGAGGAAGTCTCCAGTTATCGAGCTAGGTGACGAAGCCAGGCTGCACTGTAAGGTTCTACAACTTTTGCTACACTTAACTCTTACGTGTAGTAGTATGGGTTGTGCTGCTCATAGATATTTAATGTGGCGCTTGGCTTCGTAGTGAGGCTGTAGCATCGCCTAAACAGGAGTATGTACGAACCAAACTGTAGATGGGAGCGCAGAGCGGTCATGGCGACTGCCTGAAGGACCCCGTTGACAAATACCAGGAAGAGAGTTGTTAACTGCAATTCTATACAATAAATAATTTCTTTTCAATATTCCAGACCTTGCCACTAGCAGCGTCAGCAAGAATATGGGGATGGTGGGCAGCCGACGGCCACTTCACTGAGCAACTGACCAGAAAGGCGTTACAGGAAATGGTGATCGCCTAAACAAAAGAGCGTGAAACAGTGTAAACAAGGGGATTTGGTTAGCCCATTGAGCGCTCGGCCATCGACTTTAGCTAAGCGCTCACAAAAGGAATAGTCCCAAAGGCACTTTTCATCCAGTCTTTGGGCAGCAAGACATGGAAGGATTGCAAAAGCAGTTTTAGCCCTCACCAGGCGAAAAATACCTGAAGTGTTTTGCAGTGGCTGTCTCTTCGGCCCAGTGAAAACTTAGGTGGGAGGTCAATGGCACATGGAGAACCAAGACATATCCCAGGCAGAAAGCCAGCAACTAAACTTTGGGAGACCAGAACGCTTTCTACATTATTGTTTTTGTGCACGCAGCACAGAGACTCTTCTGATGTTAGTTTCGAGGAAAGGTTCCTTTCCTTGCGGTAACAGAGCTTGCGCGTCAAGAACAGCTGGTGTGCTGTCGCCGAATTCAAACCACTACGGGTAGGCCTTCAGTGATGTATTTGGGTTTCAATCCTCTCATATTAGGAAGGTTGACTTGAGGCTTAGTTTGGGTCCACGATTTTGCGAGACACCCCATAAAGCCAATGTTGCCAGCCCTACACTTCCACGCGACCAACCACCACATGTTCACGCACATTATGCACTAAAACAGTCTTAAGGTTTAGTATCCTAAGCTTTTCTCTACCCGCCGCCAGCTTGTAAAAGGCCTGTGCACGATAGTACTTGCTAGCATGACGCGGCCGAGACATCACCTACGAAGAACCCAAATTTATATTGAGCGCCGTAGGGCAGCACGGTGACAACCATGTCGGTGACTGCAGGTACTAAAAATCCACCCTTTCGGCGGGTCGAATCACCCAGGCACAGTGTCATGCCAACCACTACTATTTTCGATATCGTGACGTACGGACAGTGCCCCTGCGACTTTGCATTCATTACACGCACGCACTTCAGAGTAAGTAAACATACGGAAGCGCGTACTGTAGGAGCGCAGTGGGAGCAGTAGCAAAATGTGGCTACGCTACTTGAGTGGGCACGAAGCGGCAAATTGACAAGTACGGAAAATAAGTCTATGCTGGTCGCCCTTCCTCGTTACCCCACGCGACAGAGGTCGGCTGCCTTGGCTGCTCCAGCCTTCCATGCTGCATTTCATTCTAAAATGTGTGACAGGCGTTTCATGCCCGCTTACGCTCGTCGGCGCATTGCCTGTGCAATGCTTTCGAGCAGCTGTTGCCGCTCTGCCTGGACGCGGCGCTGCTCTTGCTGCCGCTCCTGCACACTAACGAACAAGGAATACTGCAGAGGCGTTTGTGGTAGCAACTCCAGTAGCCTGCAGAGCTCATCAGACACTCTGCCTGCCGGGTCTCTCGGCAAGTCATCCACAGCCGTTAGTGTACCTTTCTGGCGGCTAGGTCTGTCATCCTCATGAGCCGGCTCAGTGCGCCTTTCTACCTGGCGTTGCGTTTCTGCGGTCTCACGCATCCTCTGAACTGCAGAGGCATCCCAATGCGAGAGAAGGTCTGCTATTAGTACGTCATTAACGGCGATGCCACAGAGCAGTCGGCCCCATTTGCTGTGGGCCAGGCCCTGAAGAACATGGTCAGGGAGGCGGCACCTCATGGACTGCGGCAGGCGTAGGGTTGGGCTGCTCGGGTACCGCGAAAAGTGCTGCCCTATGAAATCGCCAGGGAGAGCAGCATTGGTCATTTGTGTCATTTGCTGATGTTGCAGCAGATCTCGCCACGCGTACTGTTGGAGTTCCTGCTGCAAGTGGTCGTCTTCTGCAATCAATGTATCTGTTCGGGCGAAGGTGTGCAGATGCCGCGAAATGCAGTAGGCAGGGATCCAAGGGGAAGCCAAAGGGCATTTCGGTGAAATCACATCAATTGCAGATGAGCCTCCAACTTGCTGAGTGAACAGCTGAGGGACCCCAGGATCGAAGTTCCTTGCGTTCCTCGGCAAGTTTTGGCGGCCACTATAGTGACGGCTTGGATTTTCTACTGAGGTTAAATCATTTGCAGAGCTACTCGTAGGAGCTTCTGAGCCAGAGCAGGACACCTTTGTGGGCTGGTGGCACGGTTCAAGCGCTTTGTGGTCCCCTACTGGTAGCAACAGCACCTCATGTGTCAGAAACAGGGCCTCCGCCAGCTCGTCCACGATGGCCTGCGGGATAGAGCAGGCATGCCTAACTGCATCACCACATTGATTTTCTGCTCGATAATTTCTGAGCTGTGACTTAAGCGCCTCCAGCAAGGCTTGGACACCGTCAGTATGCGGGTACAAAACCCCCGTATAGTCCCCTCCAGGCACTGGACACACTGGTTGATCTCCCACAGTACATGCATGGACATCACAGTGATGCTGCAGTACGACTTTGCAACAACACAGCACAGCTGGAGCCAGTGCAGGGTTTGATACTTTCCAGAATTCACTCTTGATCTCTCCTGTCCCGCCCGTAGACAATCCGCCGGGTGACTCATTCGCTTCCAAAGGAGGAGATGCATACGCTTCCTCAGGCCCTACAGCCGGCTTGTTAAGAACAGCGTCGTTTGCACGCCTTGTGGAGTTGAATACACTTTGTAGATGCGGTCTTCGTGCCACTTCCATAGCGGTTTTTAGAGCTTCTTGAGGGGAGCGAGCCACAGAGACACTCAGTGGCAAAGTGGTTCTTTGCATGTCTAAGATACCGGTTGTACAAGGCCTGCTAATTGTGAAGGGACGCAATAAGCTCAAGACCTGAGCATCTGTCAGCACTCCGTCACGCCACATCTGAACCGCCATCAGTACGTCATGCAGAAGAACACTGCCTTCGTCTCTTAATTGCAAGAGGCTTCTTCCAGGCGTCGCATAGCTCAAGGCTTCCACAGCCTCAACAGCGTAGCGGAAAATCGCACGGCTCCTCGATGTAGAGAAGGGTAGCGCGGAAATTTCCGTTACTGCTGTAAAGCCCGACTCCTCAGGTTCTGTCTCCAGCAACTCTCTGGCAGCTGATGCGCTGTCAAATCTTTGGTGTTTTTCGTCTTCTGGTAAGTAGCCGCCATTGGAAGAAACCTTGCCGTTAGGGTCCGAAGATAGGAGGGACTGGGAATGCTCCGAGCCTGCCAACGACAGCACATAGCTGTTTTGATCCGTTTCTCCCTCTGTAGTTGCTCGTTGCTCATCCTGGAGGTCCCTTGCTTTCCCTGACTCTGTGGGGTGACCCTCTGCGGTTCCGTTTAGGTACGCATCAAGATTTCGGCTAGCTAGAAGCACCTGAACGACAGGCTCAGGGTCGTAGGCCTCCGTGATAAACGCAGGCCTGTGAATGCCGAAGGCTCCCGAGTCACAGAAAGCAAACGAAGCAAGCCTTCGCGGCCAGAGTCCGCTGAATTTCATTGCCGCCAAGCCTAGCCTCAAAGCGCCCAAAAGCGCGCCAGCTACCTCTTCGCATGGCACCAAGTGGTTCTCAAAGGAAACTCGACGCAGCAGATGCAGCTGCTGGCTGCGCTGCAGCTTTAGCGCAGCACGGAATAGTAACTCCCGCTGCAAAGTCTGCTGCAGCTGCGCTTGTAGCAGCAATACCGAAATCCTTTGTGGCAAGACCCGCTTTTCGTTCAAATTTGCGTGCAGATGTTTTAGTAGAACATGTACGGCCCCATGACCGGATGGCTTATAAGTAGCTATGCTGCCTTTACCACTTGCGGTACTGCAGAGATATTCGCGGGAAAATCGATGAGTATGGAAGGACAGGAGGGCAGCCAGAGCCTCCGAGGGCTCACTAGCTTGCGAGAACTTGCCCAGCTCAACACCGAAAGCTCTAAACGTTTTCTGGTCCTCCTTCCTCTTGAACCGCTGCCGCCTTGCCAATTGTGAGTACAGGCGGCAGCGGTTCTGCAATTTCAGCCTTAGCACTGGGTCATTTAGTGTTAAGGGCCTGCAGGTGAGACGGCCGCTGGTAGTTAGCGCAGAAAGGACAACGAGGGATCCCGGTGATTTTTCGGACATACTTATAGCGTGGCTGATGGGGGCTAAGCAGTTCCTGCAGAATGTAGTTCTGCTACTAGTGCTCCAGGCTGCTGCCAACGCCAGTGCGTTACTGCTCCCGCATAGGCTGCACCGGACAGTTCGCGTTGGTTGTTGATGGCCTTCGTGAGCGAGTGCTTGCCGTGTCTCCCCCGTTACTGGCAACTCAAAAAGACACGCCCCTGCATACCCATGGAAAGTGGCGGTGGCCGCATGCTCATCTACAGTCACCTGCAACGGTCTCTGTTGGGTCCAGGGCGAACCAATAGGAGTCTTAGATGGGATAGAGCTGCAACGCTCCCGGTTTTCAAGACCCCAGCTGACACGGGGAAACATTGAAACTTCTGCCTGCAGTCGCATGCAGACCCACTGCACACCATCGGCTGGGTAAAGATGCACAAGTTGTGCCTGGGTTTGCCCACCTGCATTTGGATTATGTATGACAAGTGAACTCATTGCCTGTATTCACACTATCAGTGAGATACTCACTTGCCACGAAACCTCTACTACCTCTCTGTTTATGACTGTTGGAAGACAGCTCTGCTTTACGGCCTCTAGTGGCGAGGCTTCAAAATAAGGCCGTTTGCTGTGCAGGCGCGGATGGTCCTTCTGCCTGGTAGCTGGGACCCCCGAATCCCCGAAGTGGATGCTTTGGGAACGTTCCTCTCGGCTTGAAGTGCTAAAGGGCTCCATAGGATCGTGAGGGCAGAAAGCAGGGTGTACTCGAAGCGCGCTGCAGACCACGTCGTCGCTTTTCCAAGAAAACGCAGCAAGGAGGTCGTGAGTGCAGGAAGGGTCATGATGTGCCGCGCATGCTGCAGAAGTGAAGGCAACCTTGCGGGCATTATCACTAGATAGACGAGTAGCCCTCATGGGCTCCAGGTGTTCTGCTTGAGCCCACTTGTCGGTGCTGCTGTGCCACAGTAAACTGCGATATCTGGAACCCATCTGTAAAGAAAACAACGCAAGCCGAGTTTGCGGCTGCTCAGATTAGCCTGCCGTGAGCAGCTAGACTACTACTCGTGCAGTGCCTGACAGCTACTGCTTATGCTCTTGCACCTGGGGAAAAAACCTTAATACCACCTCTAGGGGTCTTCACAAGATGCCGCGAAATGCGGAGCTCACCTTGCGGACTGTGGGGAGGCCAACGACTGTGAGAGGCTCATGCATCGCCCTCACATCAAAGAGATAAATGGACTCTGTAGCATCGTGGACTGCGGCAAGGAGGAAGGGATGGACTGGGTGAGGAGCCAAAGCAGTGAATGTTGTGTGGTAGGTCGAATTGGCTGTACATGGCGCATACAGCGTCTCGGCAATGCACTGCAGAGTGCTACTGTGCGTCGGTGCATGCAGCGCGGGGAAAAGCCTTGTCATCCCCTTTGCCTGAATCCAGCCAACATTCCACAAAATCCAACTTCAGTGAAGCCTCGACTTCCGCACACTAGAAGACATAGATCCTAAATCTCAAAAAATGGCAGCCGCAGTGGTATCCTTGTCTTATTTCATCAGAACGCAATTAGCATCCAGTGCAACACCAACGGCAAGCGCGCCGTAGCAATATACAGAGTTGCAACAGAGGCAGCTGCATGTGATGACTCCAAAAATGGGAGATGCTTTTGAAGTGTGTAATGACGCTTTTAAAGCCAACCCTGAGGTCCAAAGCCCAGAGATTTTCGCTCCCCAAAAGAAGAGTTTGGCGTTGGTGGGGTAAATAACAGAGGGTCTGGAAGGCTTCCGCAGCTGGGTCAGCAAGAACAGCGCGGTGTCTGTATCGCATAGACGGCCGAGACGCCCGCTTGATGTTTCGAGTGACCACAGAGAGAGAAACGGGCGCGGGCACTTCCATCTACAGAATTCCAAATAGCACAGGCTCAACCAGCAAATATATTGGCACCAAAGCAACCAATATCAAGCAAATATTTAAGCTGAAACAGCAGGGGAAACTCTCAAAACAGAACAGCTGCCGCTGCATCCGTATGTCGCGACGTTCCTAAGCGCCTTCACGCAATCAATGATGAAACTCGGGTTTAGTTGGTGACGGAAAGGTACTCGCCTACTTGGATAGTCAGTGCTGACGTACTCGCGCCTCCTCGGCTTTCCAGAGACTCACGTACTGCGAGCTGTAGAGCAGTGCAGCTTCACCAACATCCGCAGGGCTCACGGCAATGTTGATTACTGTTGGATGGGCTGGAATTTGCTTGGGGACCCCAAAACGTAGGACTCCAGCTTCTTTGTCTTTGTGTCGAGCCCGACCTCCCTCCTGGCGTGGCACCCGGTAGCCATAAGGCGCGTCATGCAGCACTTCCACTTTCAGCTGCCGCCTTAAGCCTCCATCCTGAAGCCAACCAAGTATATCCGTCTCAGATTGGGTCCCCTGTACTCCTTGCTGCCTGCGCGCTGCTACTTTGAGCGCCTCCGTAGCTTCTGCGGGATCGAAGTCATCCTCGTCGTACCTTAGCCTCGCTACGTACAAACCCCTAGAGTTCCTGGCATAGACAAGCTTAATAAAAGGGTGCTTGTCATCTGTGCGCACCTCCAATACCCTCTCAGATACAACGGACTCTTTGGGCTTGATGGTGTCCACGAGGTCGGGAGCGTGACGGGCATCTCCGCGTGCGTATATATTTCGTGCTGATCCCACTTTATCCGCTTCGTCCCCCATGGGACACCAGCAGCAAAAGCAACAGCAACAGCTGCTGCTGCTGTTTTGCTTCTCGCAGCTAGCAGTGCCGTCACCACGCAGACGCTGGCCTTCCCCCCGAGTCCACTGAAATACGTTGGGATGCAACTCCGCAAGCCGACGGCCTTCAAGACCCAGCGAGCATCCAGCTACTTGCATAGACGTCTCCCATTCAGAAAGGCCAAAGCTGTCACTACTACACCCCTCTTCCAAGGACTGATCACTGCCGCTGCTGCTGCTTCGGCTGTTGCTGCTACTGCTGCTAATGCCTTGCCTCACTCTTTTTTTTCCTCTTTCGCGGCTCTCAGTGTCCGATCCACGTCCCCCTCTGTACTGTTGGCTCCTGATATTGCGGGGGAGCCCTCGCGTATAAACAACATCGCCCACTTTATGGGATATCGCTACCAACTCGAGCGCGCTGTGTGCTGCACCACATGGCAGCACAAGGACCGGAGTACGTCTTCCATGCTTAGCTACCTCTTGTAGTGCGCCGTACGGAACATATTCTTCAAGCACTGTAACACGCCTGCTTCTTGCTGCTGCTGCTGCAGCTGCTGCCTTTTTGCCATCGCCGCGCAGGCTGTAGGGGTCGGGGTCTGTGGGAAGCTTTCCACTGCAGCAGCAGCAACTTGGCTGCAGGCAAAGACAAAGAGGGTGATCCGATAGCAGCTGGTCAAAATAGCAAACTCCTACCGCGTTCACCACCTCCACCTCGAGCAGGGGATTGAATGTTTTCTTAGAAATGCGCCCAAGTGGGAGAGACCTATCGTGCAGCTTGAAGCCCCCCAAGTAACAAGTCAACAGAGAACTAGGCTCAGGGCTTCTGCCTCGATACACTATACTGCACCCGCTGGTGCTGCCGCAACCCAACAAGGAACCCGAACGAAATGAACGGTCCCAAAATGGGGTGTAGGTACACTCCGACGGGAGGCCATTGGGGCAAAGGTGAGACCCGTGTGGCAGCAACCTGACTGCTTCACCGTTCCACACCTTCGTTACCTCCGACATCAGATCTCATAGGGTATTTAGATGGTATGCAAGTTCATGGGGACGGAAATGGCTCGTCATCCACGAAGAAACACTGCAGGTGGCAACTGTCGAGCTCAAAAATTACAGTTCATATATCCACATACGGACAAGCCAAAACTGAAAAATACGGGCAAAAATAGTGGTTTCCCCCAACTACTATTTTGTTGGCGTGCAGGAGAGACCCCTGGACCTTACGTCTCAACGTGCTGAGTTTTCCTTGGCTCCATGTAACAGATCATGCACTGTAATGCTTTATGTAGACTAAATTTATGTAGTTCCCCATAAAGCAAGATCAGAGTGCATCTAAGTACAACCTGCATTAACGGGGGGCCTTCGTTGTTGGGGGGCCCTGAGAAGCCCCAAACTCCGCCTGTCTTATATCTGTGCCAGCGTCGTTGCTCCGGTTTGTTGGGACTAAAGACTGTTGTCTATGCATAAAATCATTCGGATGCAAGCAAGCTGAAGGGCTATAATGTTTGCCCCTGTGGCGCTAACGGCGCCTCAGTAGGAGTGGTCCGTGAAGCCCATTAAGGCAGCGATGTCTCGTTTTCATCTGCACTACATGCGCCATATATATACTTTCTCTTCAGCCCTAGAGATCCATAAGCTCCCCACGCGCCCCATTGTTTGGTATCCCTTGCAAATTCACCTGTGTGGAGAGAAAGGAACATGACACACTCAAAAAAGTGTCCAGGCAGCATCACGTGTATCCATGGGAAGAAGATATGTTGCGTCCGACAGAATGACAATGGGAAGCACAACAGTGGAGACGGAAGCAGCAAAAGCAAGCGAAACCTTCTTAACAGCAACAGCTGTAACCGTGGTTTCACAGAAAACACTGCCAGCTGTGATTGTGAGGCCAACCGTCATGCGAGGTCTCCACTTGAACGTCAATACAAACCAAAGAAAAAGCAACGTGCCTTTGACTGGAGCAAGGTGCAGCTGCAGCGGGTGCTGCTTAAAATTGCGTACAATGGAGAAGCATATGCTGTGAGCGAGCGGTAGCGAGTGCCGGCGTAACGCCAGTAGCTGCTGTTGTAGGTACTCAAAGATAAGCAGGTTGGAAAGGGACAGAAGCGGAATGACATATGATTTCTTTGCGCGACTTTGGCGTTACTGACTTTTGTCTGTCTGTTATTTCGGGTATTTCGCTGTGTTTATCTCCTTTGCCGCAGGGCCTGGCAGCGCAGGCCGAGGATTCAGGCATTCCCACAGTCGAAGACACCCTGTTTAGGTGTATGGAAAGGGCGTGTCTCATCCCCAACAGACACGCTTGGTGAGGTTCGTGCTGTGGTGACACCGGGCGGTCTTGGCGCTGGTCAGCGTGTTGCCACTTCTGTCCGCACTTGTGCGTTCCTGTTTACTGGTTGCATTTCTAGTACTCGCATGTGGCTGCACTTAAGAATCCTCACTAGGCTGAGGCAGACAAAGCCACGTTGTGGTGCGTGATTTTGCGAGAATGATAGCTCGAAGCCGCAGTTCGCTTGTTACTTACGGGGTGAAGCATGGCGGTGTTTGTTTTCATAAGTGCACACGAAGCTATTTAAGGGATCATTTTTTGCTGCGTTCTTCGCTGCCCTGACTCTTATTTTTCCAGTGAAGGATTTTTGGTCGTGTGCACTGTTTGCTGTCGACATTCGAGCCTGCATGAGCAGAAGCACCAGAACAGGAGGAGCTGAAAAATCATTTCGGCATTTCCTGAGTGTCAGCACACTAAAGGGACGCTGGGAACACTGTGTATGTACTCCCGTTACTGAGAAGCAGCTATCTTGAATCGTCACCTGTGCTGCAGCAACTTCTCGCGGTGCGGACGAACAGACAAGGGCGTGCATGCAGCGGGCAACTACGTTTCCCTTGACATGCGCGTTATGTGAGTGACCCTATCTCAAGCTTACATCACTACTCTAGATGGGAGATATACATACGAGGGATGCTTGCTCCCTCGTATGTATGGGGGGTGCCGTGTGCTTGTGTGTTGCGGGTGCAGACAAGGGGCAGATCAGCAAGACAGTGGTGGGCCATAGACAGCAAATGTGTGCAACTACGCAGGGCACGTAGGCTAGGCTGTTATCTTTATGTGGATTTACACGTGAGCAAAACAGCAAGTTGTGGAGGCTGGAGCTATGGAAAAACGTCAGTGACGGTTCTGGCTGGCTTGAGCCGCAGGTGGATGTACGGCATATATGCCTTTACTGAATCGACTTCTACCCCCAGATATCCGTGTCCTTGCTGCCACTCAGGTCCCTCCTACGTTCGATGCCAGGTAGGCTTCTGCTTACTTTCCTGGAGTCAGGGCCTTGCAGCACAGACTGCTAGATTTGTTGTTTGCCAACCTTCAAACTTGAAGCTGGTTAAACCTTGCTCTCACCGTACCAATCAGCTGCTCCTCTAAGGTAAAAGTAGCGGCCTTTGTTGTTGATTTCGCAGGTTTGACTGTCTATTTAGAGTGTATAAGTACTTCTTTAGCACCGTTGGATTGGATATCTCTAGGATGCGAGCCGCTGCCAAACAATTTGTGAGCGAGGATCACGCGTCGTTGCACCGTCGCTGCGTCTTGACTGCAGTGCAGTGCCACTGCAACACTGCATAATAGCTGTGGCGAACACTTATTTTTTCTGAGAGTTGCGTCTTTGTGGTTTCGCATATATCCTAACAGCACCGTCATGAGTATTAGAGCCAGCTGGTAAAAGTGGCGCAGCCAGAATTGAGTGCGTTCATGGCAGCATTGAGATGCACGTGCGTGTGTTTGACACTTTCTTGCAGCTAGGGATGCACAACTTTCTTCGTTTTTGCAAAGTTGACAAGAAGCAGGAGCGGAGTCTCTGGTCAGTCACTTTCGGGTCAGCTTAGTGCATTTCAAGGGTCTCTCCGAATGTATCGGTCTCCTGTCCAGAAAAGTGCTTCGTGAAATGAACGGGCAACATTCTTATGACTCACCTGCTCATTCTCTTTGAAACAGTCCTTGAGGATGCTTTTTGTATATCCTTCATCAGGCGTCGCGTTATTCGCTTCGATTTGGAGTTACAGGGAGATGGGTTCGGCGTAGCGACCATCGTAGGCGTGTCGTTTTTGTGGCACCAAGTATGGCTCTCCTATTTATTGGCTTACAGAATTGGCGCATAGCTGCCGTTCTGTTGCATATCCGTAGGGCAGCATAAAAGTTCTCAGCCATCCCCACACTGCTGCTTGCCCGAGACGAGACATTGCCACACTGATCGTGGGTCTGTTGCGCTGTAGGTCCGGTATATGATGGCAGCTTTGATGGAAGTGGGGCGTGGAGCGTGGCCTGCAGCATGTATCTCAACTCTTTTGAGGGAAGGCTTGGAGGTAGAAGCAGCAAAGATGGATGCTGCCGAGGAATCTGCATCCATGACTAGGACAGGAAGCACGGAAGTGGAAGAATTGAGACTAGCTAAGGAAAGTTGCTACACGGCGCTTCTCCCGGCGCCAGCAAGCAATCTCGTTCTCTACGATTGTTGTTTCGAAGGCCTTTACTTTTCTCGTGCCGGTGCAGTAAACCGCTTAATGCTAAAACAGGGTGGCACGGAAGCCTTGCATAGCCCAGCAAAGAAAGTGAGGGAGGCTGGCGCGGACCCACAAATTTCCATCGCTCATCCTGAGTCTGGTGGGAAACAGAACAGTGCTCTCGAAGATGAGGGCATACGTAACACGCAAACAGCCTGCAACACCAATTTGGAATTTGGCCCTCGCAGCACTGAAGAATCACGGACATTCCAGGTACTGTGCGTGGGCGTTGAACTCTAAGCTGCGACAGGACGGGGGATTGCGCAGTGGGGATCAGCGATGAATTCACGTTTCAGGCCTTACACTTGGTGAAATAGGGTGGTGCTTACTCTGCGACGTTGTTGTATTACTTAGGACGAGTATATGCGTTCCGCGCACCGCATGATGGTCCTTCGGTGTCTCTGTGAACACTCGTTCCCGCCATGGTGACACGGTGAAGCACTTTCTGGGAGTAGGGCATCGAGGCAGCGTTCCCATCACATTCTACCGCGAGCGGGCCTTCTTATTTGTTTTGTGCGGCTGTTGCACCACGGGTAGAAGACGATTAGGAGAGCACGCTGACGCAGCCCATGGAAGGACAACTGAATTCAAGTGAATTGCCATTTTTAGGTGAAGTACTGCAAGTGGTCAGCGCACACTATCTAGCGTAGGGTATATGATTCATGTTATTGCTTCCCTTGATATTTCTTGCTATGCTTCTTCCCAATGTTTCGAAAGTGCTATGATTTTACACTAAAGGGCGGCGGCTTTGTAGGTGTTATTTTATGGCGGTGACATATATCTGCCGCTGGCAGACTACACTGAAAAACATTAAACTGAAATACATATTTGCACACTATCGGTTTTGAAAGGGAAGGCACCTTTGCAAAGCAAAAGTTCGTCAGACGTAGACACGACCCTCAGCAAGTGGAGGGGTCGCAGTTGCAGCAGCTTCCCTCAACCAACCTCTTTGTAGTACTCAGTTACAGTAGCACTGGGCACGTAGAAGACCTTCGTGTTCGTGCTTTGTCAATCAAAATCATGGAGGGGCGCCGCTGAACTACACAAGTCTCGCTTGGTACACATTCTCGTTTCCGAGTAGTGTGGCTGCTTTTCCTAGGAAGTGGAACAAATATCTGCACTTAACAAAGCTCCCACCTAGCTCTTTATTCCTTGTTCCAGCTTCGGCGTAGACAGCCTCAGCCAAAGCACAGAACGTGCTGACTTTACGAGGGCTGCCACAAAGTCCCACAGCTCTATTTGTGTCAGCACTGCGGAGAGGGTGGAAACGCTTGAAAAGGAACAAATGCGGGTGACCTCTCTTCCTGGCGATTTTCCAAACGATGGAGCTGTTCTCGCCATCTGCCGCCCTTATTACTAAACAATTCTCAAGCTCCCCCAGCCGTGAAATGCCACAGTCCGTTGGAATCGTGGATTTATCATGCGGAGGCAAGCATAGACAAAATGCATCTGGCCATCGTCGGCTTTCGAGAATCTATTGAGTTATTTGTGTATCTTCGGGCAACATAGCCTGAGGTGGTTCTAGAGACGGTTGTTCTTGCGGCGCGTCTGCGGGCGGGTTTGTGCCTTGAGGTTCTAGAGGCTCCAGAGACTCCTGGAAGTCCTCTGACCCTTGAGTGCTTTCAGGATTTTCGAGCACTTGAGGTTCTTGATTCCCCGCGCTAAGGCCCTTAGTGTACTCCTCGAATTGAGTTTCGGCAGCACGCTGGCGTTTTTTCACATCTGCTTTATATCCTGCTCTGCTCTTCTTTCCGGGCTTTATGCTGGCGAATATTGCTTTCAGACGCTGAAGTGGAGCTAGTACTGGTAGCTGTCTCCGCTTGGCAGAACCTGGAAGCCAACAGCAAGAATATAGCAAGCCAGGAGGAAAAGTGATACGCACAGGCCAACTTCGGCAGTGTTTCAACCATTTTTGTTAGTTTCACCGGCAACCTTACGTGCGGCTGCTGACTACTAAAGGTCTTGCTTACCAGTAATGCTTGCAAGCATGATGTCTATCAGTATCTGATAGGGATTCATGAGTAGTGGGTGCTCTCTGTTGGTGACGGGCCGATTTAGAGTAGTTGTTCTGTAACTGGCCACCCATTTGGCACTTCTCTGTGCTTTTATACTAGGAAGGATTTCTTGCCAACTTCGTTTCTCCCGCACCCATTTAAGAAAGTCTGAGGTAAGGGTATCGACCATGCCGATTATTGGGAATTCCTGGGCAGTTTTAAAGGCCACATTTGCCACCACAGTATGATCAATGTTGCTGCTGAGTAGCTTTTCATACAGAGCCTTTGTTTCAGCTTCGTATGCTGAGTAACACCAGAGCAACAGGACACAGAGCCGCGAAAAATTCAACAGCGAGCACGTAGTACTGCTACACGGCTGAGTCACATGTGATGAAATTCGGATTCATTCCGTTTGCTGCCCTTGCGATACGCACCTGCGTCAATTGCTTTCATTACGTCGTGAATGTCGTTCTCGGAAACACTCCTAGCAACATCAGCAAACGAGTGAGACTCATTCATTTTGGTGTAGAAGCAATCATACCTGAAGAGCTCTTTGTCTAGCACTGTCAAGCTGCTAAATGTCTCATAATCTTCCAGTGCTTTCCCCATGCATTTTTTTTTCAACTGCGCTGCTTGGTTAACCAGTTCCATAAGCATGTGCGCAAGACCGTAGCGCTCTAATGGTGGCCTGTTTGCGTCGCTCATTAAATTTAAAGCTGCCTTCCTTGCGATAGTGTCCACGTTTATCTTTGAGCTTTGGCGCAAGCTGTATGCTAGGTCCGCAAGGTCGGTGACTGTGTAGACGTTGCTTAGTTTCATCATATCCTGGTACGTTATGGGAATATTCTGCTCTCTAGCAGCATCCACAAGGCTGCGCATTTTTTCAGGCAGCACATATCTGTACCAATCCATCAAGAACTGCGGGCCTGTAAACGCAAAAACAAGAACCTTGTAAATGAGGCTGTGCAACTAAGCAGTGGTAAAAGGCATGCATTGCATTCTCTGCACTAGCATCTCACCATCGAAAGCGAAGGCAACGAATCTGTGTTTTTTTTCGTTGTTCGTCCCTAAGAGTAAATCGGCTGCAAATGCCAGAGTGTCTGCAGGATTTCCTGGAGGAGAGACCTCCTCTAATGTGTACTGAAAGGATATCATTTTTGACTCAGAATCGTAAGATCTGAAGCTCAGTCCCCCCAGGCTCTCTCCTAGTTTGTCGACAGTGGCAATAAGGAGGAAGCGCAACAGGGGGCTAATGTATTTCGCCCTTGACTTCCGTTCGTCCATGTCAGCTCGTCTCTGTTGCAGGAAGCTCAGGTGCTCTGCAAGCGGCAGCCTGTCAATGTAGATTGTTTGCAGTAATTCGTCAATAGTGACTGTTTCCGCATCCGAAGCAATATAAGCTCGAAGTCTCAACAGGAGGAAACATAGCCCAAAAGCATCAGATGCAAGGAGTGCATCGTGAGGAAGGGATGTTGTCGATGTGAATGGACGTCTCAGAATGGAGCCAACTAAGGCTGAGCATCTTTCGAAGTCAGAAGGTCCGTCCTGCAGCGCGATACGAGAAAGGGTTGACGGGATGCTGACACGCTCGAAGAACGTGTTTCGGTGTGCCGTTGCTCTCTCACAGTGCTCCTGCGGCAAGCACGAGCAGCAAACTCACTGGGAGTCCATCCTGCTTTGCGAGCACGTCCTCAATACGCCTAATTGCATCCACGACCTTGACGGACTCAGCGGTGTTCACCCCCAGGCCTTTTGGCTCACACTGTGCTTTAACGACAAAAGCATTACGATTTCCAGAGTTCAGGTCTGAAGATGCGCAACGGGAAAAGCTCGAGCAGCTTTCGTGGACACAAGTGTTAGGAGTGACACTTGCACGCAGCAAATCGACACTGCAAAAGCAAGAGCTCGCTTCTTTGCTATCGTTGATGGGAATGGTATTGGTACACATCACATCGACGCGCCAACAGCACGAGCTCGAATCGTTGCTACCGTGGATTGGCGGCTATCAGTCAGGACGGGCGCCTTAAACACTTACTGAAACGCAGCATTTCAGCGTCCCTGGGAGTTTGAGGTGGAAGGTGTTTAATAATGTATGCCAAATCAAGACTCGAGTTGAGGAATGTGAGGGCCTCGGAAGTCAAGTAGCGTAGTTGGAGAGCTTTGTCCACAAATCTACCCGAAGCATCTTGCAGAGCCAGAAGACCCAAAGCCATGCCGATTCCAGAGCCGCCAGCTGTTTTGAGGACCCATCCTGCAGCGATTTTTACTGTAGCTTGTCCTAACGCCTTCGCGCGCTTCATAAGTTTTTCGTGCTCCTCTGCAGCTCACAAGGCACAGAGCTAGCCAGTTGATTTTACAGCAAATTCAAAAAGCACTGCTCGCCACATGGCTACTAAAGTGATGTTTTTGAATAAAGATGTCTCACAGCTCAGGTGCTCACCTCGTGCAGACGGGGTAAAAGAAGGTGTTGCTCGCACTTGTGTAACCGTGTTGTACATGCTTGGAGGACTATCCAGTATGCCCGTGACAGATTCCAGTGTCAGAAGCACCTTGCTAAATTCCTCCAGGTCTCCTACTTCGATGAATGTGTTTCGAGGGCTGTCAAGGTCTGGATACGTGGTCACTTCTGCGAATTTTAGTGCTCCCATAAAGTGAGGACCTTGAATGACCTTGGGAGAAATCCTGTGATCCAAAAATGCGTGAACAAGCGAACATACAAAGGTTCCTGTGCGAAACCTACAGCTGTGTAGTATGGCAGCGGGCAAAGTGGGAGCTGGATTATGCATAGAAGGAACGGAAATGTACCTCCAGCTTCGCAGCATTGACCTTCTGTTGCCGAAGAAGCGCCTCATGCGTGCCAAGCAGCTTCTCCACTCAAGATCGACTCTTTCCCTGACTATTTTTGGCAGGATATTAAAGTTGTCTTTGAACCTCGTCAGCATGTTCAGCAAGCCCTGCTTTTTTTTGGGCCTTGGAGGCCTGTGCCCTGACACAGACGGGTGCAGCTTCTTCATTAATCTGGCTAATTCAGTTTCGTCTTCATCTGTCCCCGGAAGGTCGTTTATTTGGTTGTAAAGAACCTCGTATTTATACTTTGCCGCAGTTTTCCCATACTTTTTGGCGGACTTGAGGAAATAGTCGAGATTCAAATAGGATCTCCACGTCACCTCACCCTTAAGCTCGGCGAGCTTGGTCACAAAAGCAGTGACGTACGTGATTATCTCTTCCTGAAGAACACGCAGAAACTAAGGCTTGCCATGATTAATGGGGAGACGTCCACGGAAGTTGAGGCGAATCGTGCCACCCGAGTAAAGCACAGGCGTCCGCGGCTAAGCTGACCTCCGAATCCCCAAGGTCCGCGAGGGAGCCGATTTTCATGAAACGGAAAACCGCACACTTGAGGACTCCTTCCTCAGTAGGTTGTTCCCACTGTGAAATGAAGCTGCATTCTGGGTAGAGGACCTTGAGCTGATCAGGGCTAGTTCTGAGTATGTTCATGATGTGGTTCACTTCTTTAAGGAAAAGGTGCATGGTTGCTGTCCTCCCAGTGCGATGTTTCTGAATCTTTTTGTAGGCAAAATGAACACTCCCCATCGCAATAAGAAGGGCTGCATCTGAAGCGTTCAAGCTATGCATTCGAACGATTGCCCTATTCAAAGCGCTCAGCACAATATCCTTCATGGCACCGAACGACTTGGGGAACGTGTACAGCTTTCCATCCAGCATCACGGTTGCTTCGGACTGGTCGTAGGCTTGAGTTGAGAGGACGTAAAGAATGTCAAAGAACATTTTTGGGGTCACGTTTTGCAGGAACTCAACTGGGCTGCTTTTCCAAAATATGGGGGCCCGTCGGTGAAGCAGCATCAATACGCCAGCCAGCTGTAAACAAACCGAAAGAAAACAGTGCTGAATGTGGCCTAAAAACAGTATTTGACTATACACTGCTTCTGCAGCGTGTTCCTTCTTTGCGCATATGGGCTAATGATTCTCACTGTCTCCGCAGCGATACGACCCCGCTTGTCTAGAAAGTGGGCTACGATCGTGTCCCTGATGGCTGATGGGTCATTCTGAATGTCTAGAAGCTCCCTTCGTTCGTCATTGTATTCAATGGAACCTTCCAGCTGTATTGCAGGCGTAATTTGGGCTTCTGCAAAGTTTTGGTGACGATGTCCTGAGGCTTCTCCACGTCGCTGGCCAGCAGCCACGAAGAATGACAGCGTCCCCTTATTGCTTTCCTTTACAGTAAAGGAACTATTGCAATCTAGAGGATCTGGCTTGGTGATGCCTGAGAGGCAGTGTTTGCACGCATCTGGTAAACGGAGGTAGGGTGCGTACAATTTGACTGGAGGAATACACTGCAGCCGTCTGCGCCTCTTGCAAACTTTGTGAGTCATCAGGGTTCTGTTAACTTACTTCTGCCATTCTTATCGCGTGCAGCAGTAACGAGATCTGCTCAGCGACACAGACAATCAATGCATCTGACAGTGAAGTATATATGTGCTAATTCGACCTACGCTTACTTATAGCAACCAGTAGTGAAGTTAACTTACTTCTCACGCTTGATTCATCGTCACCTGCAGGCAAGGCAAAAGGACCACAACAATGGGAAAATATTACAAATATTCATTGTATTAAACCAAAAACTAGTCACAATGAATGGCATGCGAAAGAGCTAAGCTTAATACCTTGTAGCTGTGGGCTCACCAGTGAACGTCAGCGTTCTGCCATTTTCGTCGTAGAGGATGACTTTTGCGGTTCCTTCTACGTATTCAAAACGCCTAAATGTTAGCTGTAACAAATCAAATACGATACCACAAGCTTTACATATAGAACGTTGCCAAGTACAGTTCACCAGGTGAGCATGTGAATCTACATTTCTGTCGTTGGGTGAAGTACCTTGTCAAGAGCAGCTCTGCGCAGGTGCGTTATGAATACAGTACTGGAACCTGAAAAAAAAATACGACGCGCAACTTGCATTCTAGTCTCGTCGCCACAGCCTCTGCGGAAGCATCAACGTGCCATTGGATACAGCTCCTACCTGCGTTTAAAGCAAGCTGAGCGAGTCTCGCATGATGTTTTAGCCTTTTGTCACTGGTGAACTGAGCCCAATGCTCGAATACCCGCGTGACGCCACCATGGGAATGAAATGCGATGTCGTTTTCTGGAGAGGATATCGGAAGGTTCAAAGACACCAGCGACTTGACAATAAACTCGTCTTCATCGATTTCGCTGGTAACCGTTGTCCCGCATAAGCGCTTCTCCTCCTCCGTTTTCTCTTCTAGAGGCGTCTGGCACTTGGCGATGAGCTCAAATATTTTTATACGTTCTTCATGCTTCTCAACCTTGGATAACAGAAGCTGGCTATTCAGAAAGCGCTTGTATATATCACCCAGGCCTTTTCGCATGCTGTCCGTCGCCTTGGTTAGAGAATGAAGTGCTGTGGCCTGAGCAGCTGCGCCCTCCCGTGTTTCTCCATTTGTGACCTGGAAGAGCGACAGCGCTCCGGCTGCAACAAGAAGACATTAACATACGGATTAACCATCATGTGGTAGGTTGCTGTCAGCTTTCGGGACCAACCCACTCACCTCGTATTCCGGACCAAGAAACTACAATTGTAGCTTACTTGCAGTAAATAGGCCATATGCTAGTTTTTCAGCTTCTGAAGCAAACTTTGTCGCTCGAAATAGCTTCCTAGGGAGATGAGAGTCTTCCGTCGCTGCTTGAGCAGCGCTTCTTCGGGCAGCATGGCGCGCCTCCGCTGCCACCACTTCATCGGCCGGGCTGTTGGCTCCTTCCGCACCGCCCAATGAGTCATTTATTTTTGTTTCCAGCATCGCTACCGAGGACTCGTAGAAGATCGAGAGAATGTCTGAAATGTACGTCTTGAAGTATTTGAAGTGGTACTGGAGGAGGCGCACCATCTGAAGAACTACGCGTTGAGTATACTCGGCTTGCTTTTCTTTGAAATTCTGCACGAATCGCCGGTTATTCGTGCAACTTCGCCGCAGTAATTCCACCTTTTGCGCAGTGGTAAGTGGCTCATCACCTCCTGAGGCTTCAGGATGTGCCTCAGAGAAAAATTCGAGTGCCTCATCAACAATACTTTCCAGATCTATGTCCTCAGTAGGGAGCTGAGCCGGTGGGGATTCTCGGGTTTGACTTGAGTGGTCAAATGCGCTGGATCTTAGGGCTTGACAAGCCTTCACATATGCATTCGCACTGCTTATGTATTTGCGAACTACGCGGTGAAACGAACGGCTGAATTCTGCAGCGCCAATGAACAGTCCCTCGGCAAGCGCCCACGAACCACCTCCACCTCCACCGGATAGGGCACTCTTGAGCTCGTCGGCCTCCTCCCACTGCTTTTCAACGTTGACAGCATGCATTTGGAACAAAATAGTCGTAAGGACGACTGCATCTCGTTTCAGGAGACGATCCATTAGTCCGCTGCCAATTGGGTCCCCTCTCATTGCTGAAAAATACGAATGGGAACACAATTCGCCCCATAAGAAGGCAGACACTTCTTCTGTGTATTTCATGAAGGCCTTTAGCGGTTTGCGTACCGATTGTCTTGGATTTGAATGCTTGATATGCTCTTGCTCCTCTTCTTGCCATTCGAAAAATAGGCTTGAGCGCGTTGGCAGCAGACTGAATGATTCGCGTTTTACAAATTACCCCAATAAGCAAGGCAAAAATGCCCTTAAAGTTGACCAAAGATTGTTGGAAGACCAGAAAGTATGACCGCACAAGCCCCTTCATAATGCTCCCAAGAATGCCGCCGGGATAGACTACGGTATAGGGCGCAATGGTGTTGACTCTATGAGCAAATGAAAAACAGCTACTCTTAACCTCACTGGAAAACAAACCGGACACTCCACCAATCGTGTCCTCAAATGCCTGAACAACAGTATTCTTTAACGTGACAATTGGGTGGTTCAGGAAACTTTCGGTCCAAGAGTACAGCGGGAGAGCTGCAAAACAAGACGCAATTAGACGATTTTTTACCTGTGAATAACTAGTGGCCAGTTGTGCACTGGTACTCTTTAGCCACGCCACGCTGCTGGTGAGGCCTTTTTTTCCCCTGGAATTCCAGCTTTTTGTGGTCGCCGGCAATAGTGTAGCACTCACTTTTTGATGCCATAATTAACTCCAGAGCAGATGTCCCTGCCTTTGCTTGCAGCAAAGCCTGCGTCAGTTCCTTCATGTGCTTCGCGTACTGGCGCCTCTCAGAGCCTAACAGTCTTGACCGCAGCGGGAATGCGCGCTCCAGTGACAGCTGCGCAAGAAGCTTTGCAGCGCTCTCTGGCTTTTCTGAATACACACACATTTCCGGCGAAGCATTTGCGCCCTTCAGAGGACAGATAAAGGGATTTTCGTTCCTTTCTGTCCCTTATTTTCTATTTCTGCCCCCCTTGCTGTCATATTTTGTCTCTTCGTGTTCCTATCTTTTCTTTTCATCTTGCAAGCATGCCACAAATGATTCTATTTGAGTAATGAGCGCGTACTGCGGTAGCGTAGCCTGGAGCCGTTCGCAATCTTTTCCAGCTGCTTCACCGTCCGCAGCTTTTGTTCCAAGCTCGCAATGGAGTATCGCAACCACGGATTAGTCAAGTGCAGAGTCCTGACGAAGCCTCGAGAATATATATACTTTGATGCTGTCATTACAGAGACACAAACGCCACAAAAATATGTAGGTGAACCTGCAGGCCTACATGTAGTCCTTGGAGACTACGACAGTCTAGACGTACCTCTTTTGAATGCGTGAACCAGCGCATGTGAGGATTGCATTATGAATTCTTGGTCTAGTAAGCCAACCCACATGGTCTTTTCTCCGCCTTGCACAAAGCTAGTCTCATTTGCTTCAAAGCCAGGTATCCTGTGTCCTGGAGCACAAGTTGTAGGCCTCTCAGACAAATAAATATACATGTACACGCATGCGTATTTACATATTGCTCCACAGACACGTCTATGCGAACAAGCATACTTAGGTATTCAGTACTTCTGCAGCATCACCCCGCCTCACCGTTCAAAGAAGAACCGTTGAGCGGTGGCAAAGAGTCCTGGGAAAAGTTGTGTGATGCGATGCTTTTCTCGACAGGGGTCGCCACAGCATTCATTAAAAGAGCGTAAAACAACATAAAGGCGCACGTGCGTTCTGGAAGCCGCACCCCCCAGAGCGGAGGTGATACCCCGGTGCTTGAAGCCATTGCCGTAATGCGTTTCCAAGACTGAGTTGAGAGACTGAGTCGAGTGCAAAGTGCAGAGACATATTTCCATGCAGTCTGTACAATGCACTTGACACCCCTATGGGGTTATGCGCCAGCAGATGCTCATCATTCCCCATCACTCGAATGCAAAGCCTTCATTAGAGAGCTAACGGCGAAGAAGCACCTCTCACTGAGTCAGCTCGTTGCGCTCACCTGTATCAGATGCCTAATGACGACAGTCTCCAGGTGCAGCTGGAGACGGTCCAGTGGTCACGGAGACAGTAGTGTTGGAACACCTCCAGTGACACCTTAGGTTGCAAGAGCTTCATAGGAAGATTCCTAAACAGGCGACGTCTTTTCGCCCATTAAAAAGCTCGAAAGCCCCTTGAAAAACTATGAGAGCATGTTTTCTCCCAAAATCTATTCGGTCTTGGTGCCAGGTTTGCGGAGACCCGAAGCGGAGACAGGCAGTGTAACCTGAGGCTCAACAGGAGGCCCTGTTCCACTGCAAAGTACACACAAGACACAGGCTCTTCTTGAGCTACTGAGTAGCATAGAAAGAAAATACAGTCAAATGGTGGACAATGAAAATGTTACTGGCCTTGCATCGCACCTGCTGAGGTTGAGGCGGCGTCTTGGTGGTCTGTTCTACTGCTGCCCAGCAGGACGAGGCAGTCGGCAGCACCGTAACAGCAGCCAGGGCTCCTGAGCCGATGAATTAGAGCCACAACAATTCGAAGACAAGTAATCTACGTAATTATGTGCAGGCAAAATTGTCTGAGTATCATGAGGTGGCCTCTCCCTGTGCTGGCCTTGGACAATGACGCGCCTTGGCCTGCCCAACAGACGAGGTCATTACCAGCTCCTTTGTCTTGTCTCCACCATATTTAGGTATTTTACACATTTTTTTATCATTAAAAAAATAATTTAGTTTTATATTTGGGTTTATGGAAAGGTTTGAAGGCGTGTTGTGCCTCAATTTTGATATGTTGTTTGACCTGAGGAACTGAGCCAGTCCGATCCGGCGCGTGCAGGCAGCTCTCGGCATGCCGTGCACAGCATTCCTCACACTGTGGAATTCAATATTTGGAAATTATAAATTATGCACCTCAGTACAAGCAGAGTACTCGAACTACCGGAGGTTGCACTTTTACTCTAGGGGGTCCCAAAGCAAATGCTGCCGGTTTGAGAAGGCGCCCACAAGCAGGGGACCAGAGGGACCTTTGGTCCCTTGCGTATTCAGTTTTGTTCCGTTAGAGTCCTACTACACAGGCGAAGCACCAAAAGGCGATGTCATTTTATAATGCGTTTGAAGAAGGATGGGTTATATAGCATTGAAATAATACATGCCTTAGGATTCACTCACTAGCATCTGAGGCTTCGCTGCATTTCAGCTTTGCCCTGCAATGACCCCTTGTTCAAATGAAAGACGTATCCGACTACTGCTCCTACAGTAAATCAGTAAAAAACTAGTAAGTGCCTTGTTTTTCAACTTCCATGGGAGCAAGGTATCTTCAGGCAGTGGAAGTGATTAGAGCGAACACGTGAAGCCTGCAGTGGGTCCTCTTGGACAAATGTGTGCATCTCTTTTGCACAAATTTTCGTACTTCTGGCTTGCATTTCAGGACGTATTTAAGTGTCTTCTCTTGGTTTCAGCATCAGCAGATGCAAAATCGACTGTGCGTCGAAGCATCCGCTGGCTTCGCGAGGCGGACATCTCCTCCCCCAGCCGAGCTCTTGGACCCCTATTCATCCCCAACTTTTGCCAGAATATTTTCATGTAGCTTAGACTTCAGCAGAGCTGCAAACTTGATGCAGTGCTGAAACTGTGACGGAGTGCTGATAGGGTTAAAATGGTGCAGGCCTCGCAGGGGAGGGCAACAAGCTACAAAGCGCTTAGAGCTCCAAATTTGAATGTCTGGTCAACAAAACATGCTCAAAATACAGCGCTTCGACCCCGTCGACTGTCTTAAAAAAATGAAATACTTGCTCATACACCGGAAAAAAGTAGCAGTGGCGTGAAACTTCTCCCTTTCAGCAGACATCTTAGAGAGGCACTGATCGAATGTCAGCAAGCTTTCCTGTACCTAACAGTGTGCGATAATTTCACCAACGTTTGAAGCATCTCCGTCACCAATGACTGTAAGTGGCCAGACGTGACCCCACAACAGGAACACTTATTTGACATTGCAGCCCGTACGATTCCGGCCATGGACTTCTGATTAGCCACGTAGGTCTTAGAGACTAGTGATTTGGGCTTAGCCTTCACACTTCTGTTCACGAAAATTGCTTACAGTAAAGTAAGAACGCCATTACTTGCCAATAAAACATTACTAATTGTACGCAGGTGAAAGAGATACTGTATTCTAGAATAGAAAGGTGCAACGGGAGAAATAAAATAAAAATGCTTTCGTTTTTTTTGTTAATACGCAAGTTGCACAACCCGTAGAGCACCAACAGCATCACAGCCGTCATAAGTGGGGGCCTAGTAAGCACAAGGAAATCGTAGCTACCGAGGACCATTTGCCTTCTAAAGGTTTTTCCAGGAGGCGAAATGCTCCTAGGCCCCAGACGCGTTAATCGTGGAAACAGCTGCAGTGACGTTGGAATCGTTCTAGCTGTGGGATGAAGAAGGGCATGCGCGTAAGCTGCCACATAGGCATTGCTGCACTTCCATTGGGTCTGCTAAGTCCCCATATGCGTACATTTTCCGCTGTGCCCTTTTTTTCTTGGTTCCCTGAGTAACAATGGCTGTGCTGCACTTAGATCAGACCTACCCAGGAAAAATTAAATTCATGAGAGAGCAACTGCTGGCTGCAAGCAACCAACTCAGTTGGGTATGCTTACCTATTATGAGTACACCTTTACACTCCAGGGGTCCTTTGACCCTACCAGTTCTCGGAGCTGCTGTTCGGCCCCCATTGTTTGCAAGCCTTTGTTGCCAGCGCAATACATGCTTTGCTTACGATTATTTTCACGATCACTAAATACACTTTAGTGTCTCCTCCTACTATTGGACTCCCGCACATGGTGCCAAAAAACGAAATAAAGCGTTTCATTGCAGAGGTGACGCAGGATTCGCTGAGCCGCGCGGTCAAGCGGCAACCGGCCAAGTTGGTATTAACAAATTTCAAGCAATGCTTAGAGTGTGCCGATATCTTCGCGCGATGCTTCAGTTGTCAAGAACTATCTCAAGCCGAGTAAAATCTCGGCTAAAATATACTAGTCATTCAATTCGTTCACAGCAGCTAGAGCTCCGACAGATTCCACGAGCTTGGCTAATTTTTGCTGCAGAAGGTCACTTTCCACTAGGCAACAAGCGCATTTTTCAAGGAAGACCTCAGCTGCAAGTTCATCTACATTTTCCCTTGCCTGTACAGTCGCACCACAGGGTTGCCTATTTGAACATAACTGCACTAAAAATAAGGTACCTCTAGGGCGTCAGTGCAGTCTCGCAAAAAGCAGCCAGTCACTGTCGAGATTTTGCGCTGTCAGTGTACCTCAGTTATCCACTTCATATGCTCCTCAACGGACTCCAAAGTCTCAACAGATCTCCTCGATTTTTCCGGCGTCTCAGAGTCGTGGGAGATCCTACAGATTGAAGCACACGTAGTCGTTGTTTACCAGGGGTGATCTATGTGGTCAGTTGAGGTAGGCAGCTGCAGAGTACTCACGTATCTTGAATGGCATGGCCTCCGTAGTGAATATCGTCATTATCGTTTCCTTGTGGCGGTGGAAGTGCCGTTTGTGGATTTAAACTGAGTTCCCTGTGTCCTTCACTCCCAGTTGCCTTGGTGGTGTCCCCCATCTTAAATAGCTGCAGGTGGTGGTGTGCCTTCAAAGCTTCTCCATATGTTTATCCAAAGTTGTGTGTCAAGAAGAATCCAGGCACACTCGGGTGCTGCAGTGTAGCGACACTCGCCCTAGAGCGTTGCGTGGCGTCCCATGTAGGCTTTACGGACAATGCAGGCCACAAGCAGTTGGCTTTGGCAGTACTCTTACTATTAAGGTGAAACCAAATACATACATGGCAGGCATTTCGAGAGGAGCTCACCTGTATTTGCGACCAATATGTATATTCGAACTAAGTAAGTATACAACCGCAGTGATGCCTTGAGCGGTGGTGGCTGTGCGACAGTGTTACTGTTCCTCTCCGGATCTTTTTAACCGAAATATCACACAGTTTTGTTCGTTTCTTTGTAAATTAGTATATGAGCCACAACAATAAAAGCACGTAAAGCAAGTGCTGCATTGCTGATAACGCGAGCTGACCGGTGTAATAGGCATGGCAGATGGCTACAGCATGTCGTTGCTGAATTCCTATATTGGACCTGCACGTTTAGTACATCTCTATGAACTGTAATACAATGCACACTATAAATTAAAAATAGATAACGTGCCATCAATTGTTGCTTTTTATCTCCCTCGGCTCACCAGCAAGTTGAGGCCAGTGGTCCCCACGTGGGTTTGGCCGTGCGCTGTTGAATGACTAGAATAGTAGTAGACGTCCCGCTGCGAGTATTATGTATAGATTGCTTTTTAATTGTAAATTTCTGAATCAAATGGCTCCTCCTACCCGCACAAATGGCATCCTCAGCAGCCCCAGTTACTCCGTCAGTGCACACAGCAGGGTGACTGGATGAGACCATCCTGAGCACTCAACTCATCGATTAGAGAAGGGTTGAGCGTGATGCATACATGCGTGGAGAAGCTTTTCTCCTTTTTCCTTCCACCATCACATTAAAGAGCCCTTTTGTGTTACTGGCGCTCTGCAGTGCTTGCATCCGCTTCCTTCGAGACGCACTGAGTCAACCAGCCGTGCCGGGTGGTGTTGTGCGGATTAGAACCTTTTCCAGGACTTTTTTTCACACTGTATTTTTTTCCAAGACTGACCACATATACAGTGTGTTTCTTCATCTCGGGCTCCTTCCCATCCAGAAGGCCCCTCTGTTGATCCCCCAGCGCTACTTGCTCTCCTCTTGGCTCGAGTGACACACTAC